AATTGTCAAATGCATCCCGGAGATGAAGCAAAAGACCCCAAAGCTACAAGTGGAAGTTCCTTTGACTAATTGATATTAAATATTTGAGAATGGCTTACTATGCGTTTGATTCTTTTGGAATATTTGGGGAATGAAATACCTGGAAATCCAACCATTCTTTTGGTACACGAACCCTTTTCCTTTGCCACCGATGTGCTGAGGTTGATACATCGACACCGTTGGTAGAGCTTTTTGCAGCTGCGCCAGCCACAACCTGTGATGGCGCTGAATTTGGGGAGGTGATTACTTACCTCAAAAGGTCCAAATATTTAGACCTCCCATTGGAGTGGCATTCCCACTTCAGGGCAATGTAAAGATGCCCACGAGTCAGAGGCCCTGTCTAATTTGCTTTAAGGAAAAGGTTTCCCAAATATGAAATGTTGATCAAACAAATGGCCCCATTTTGGAAATTTTGGAACATTTACAAAAAAAAACAAAATCTGAAACGGCGTTTTTGCCCATCCAAAAAGCGTTTTTTCCCATCCAAAAAGCGTTTTTTTTAAAGGTTTTTTTGGACATTTTTATGTTGTCTTCCAATCAATGGAGGAAACCATGCAGCAGTGATGGGTCCCTGAAAATATTTCATGGCCGTCACTTACAATTTGTGATATGTTATTGAAATTCGCTGCAGAAAGAAAAGGAATCTAGACATGTTGCCACCACATGTCAGCTACAAAGCGGGACTTGAGTTAGGATTTGATTGGAAAACCAAAATCTCATATCTCATGAGGCTCAAGCAGGGCTTCCCTTCAGTAACCTGACTTGTAGGTTTATAGCTGGATGGAGAAACCCCAGTTGTCCAGTCAGGTGTGGTCTTCTGAGACTTTAGTGAAAGGAATGAAACATGTGGTCCGTTAGCCCGATGGACTCTTGACAAAAGCCGAACCAGATGAAGAATTGGCCCTGGAGTATGATGCTTCCAGTCTTGAATTTAGTGCATTGGAAAAGGAATGCTATTGCCATACCAAAGGGTTGTTATGATTATGTTTATATTGGGTGAATTTTGGGGGTTATGATATGTTATGACTTCCTGCGCTTTGGAACATCCTGCTGTGTGAGGCTCTTCTTCGAGAGGAGGAGATGTTGAACGAACAGATCAGTGCCGGATTGGCTCAGCCAGTCCAGCCAGTCGGGCCAGTCAAGTTGGAGGATGTTGGGGATCAGCCCGGCTTGAATGAAGACCACTACGAAGTTGGAATTGATGTTGAAACCGGTGTTTCTTGAATGAATTGTGGAAAATACATACCTGAAAAACCAAACAACATCAGTACTGGTATTTGATATCTTCCTTTGGTGACTGCTCTCTAGCAAAGGTATGTGAGGATGATGGCTATGCTGACTACGCTGCTAACTTGGCAGAGTTAAGCTATGATGACCAGCAACCATGTGAAGGGTATGAAGCTCTTTACGCGTTGACAGTTCTTGATGATGATGCATCCACACTTCCCGGGAAGCCCATGACTTTTCGCCATCAAGAGGGTCAGGAAACCCACGAGACCAAAGTAGCCTGGTGTCCCCAAAAAATGGTTTTTAAATTCTCTCTTTTGTGTTGGTTATCTTAGCACCCCATGATCTATTGTAATTTTCAAGGTTCACCTCACCCGGCCTGGCCTAGGAACATGGGCAGGCTGCATCTCAGGCTCGGCCAGTCCCCACACCTTGCCGCGGTGACACGGAGCAGGCTGGTGAGGTGCCGGATATCCGGGATGCCACAGCAAAAGCCCCAAAGCCAGGGGTTTTGCGGATCACCCCAGAAGCTATCTCAGGAAGGCTCAGAAGGGTATTTACCCCAAATGTGCGTGGTGAATACAAAGTATCCTCGGAGATACTCACTCAATGGCGTAACAAGAAGGGCCGCAAGTCCTTGGAGCAAATATTCCAATCAGTGGGATATAGCGCTGAATCTTGGACTTTGGAATGTGTTTATCAGGGTATATCGGGTGAATATCTATTTTTCTGGGGGCCCCCCATCCAAAAGGATTAAGACATTTAAGAACCATACCCAATTATGAAGTCTTCTGGTTGCTTGGATTCTAGCTTTGGTACCCCATTGACTTTTCCTAAGGAAGCTTTCGTGGAGGAAGTTGAAATGATCCGATCTGACCAACTGGAGAACGATTTGGTGGTTGAGGGGCAGTTTGCAACAGAAAAGATGATGCAAGAGTGGGGATGGACCCAGTTACTCGACTCATTAGAAAGGCATTCCACCTATTTGAACATGCCCTGTCAAGCTTGCTGGCAATTTCAATCAACAGACATTGCGAACATTACATTACTTCTTACATGTCAATCAATAAAAATCTCAACATTGAAGACTTTGATTCACCGGTTCACCATTTTTTTGGGGTACTTTTGTGTACTATCCCTCAGGACCCGCATAGATGCTGTCAAAGCTGACGCACGTCGGAATCCCAAAACGATGATGAGGCCAGGCAGAGCCAAACCATGTTCCCATTGCATGACCCATTTTCATTTCCAGGACAGACAAGTACGAGAAAGTGACCTTGTACTGGGCAGAACTTTGCATCAAAACAGCAAAGAAGTATCTTGGCATACCCGCACGTGTTTGGGAACCTGCCAGTCTTAGACATCCCACAGTATCTAACCAGCCATTCAGGACTACTATAGACTCCGCACAAACCATTATAGACTATAGATGCAGAATTCTCAACAATGATTAGATTAATTATAGAATGGTCTTTGTCAACGTCTTTGACGTGTAAACTTAGGCAACGGAGTGTCCTCTCCTTGAACCGGAGCGTGAAATGGAAGCAGACCCCACCCGACTTCAAGGACTTTGACCCTGGGTGCCTGAGTGAAGTTGCTGCGCCCTTCATGCCTGCAGCTGCCACAGGGGATGTCAAGTCAGAGGGAAAGGGGGTGCCACAGAAACGCCCCTGCGGAGGGACTCCTGGTGCTTCTGTTGCCAAAGTACCCAAAGTATCGGCAGCCGAAGAGTTGCACGGTAACCCAACCGGGTTTTGAACATAAGTCATGCCATGTCAGACCCTCAATTCCCCAATATTTTTCCAATTACCAAGATTGGGAGTGCTTTGATTTGGTGCTATGTGTTTTATTTTTCAAATGGCTAAATGTGGCTAGGTGATGACCATCAAGAACCTGATTCTGAAGACGAATCAATTGATCCCAGTGAAGATGAACGGCAAGATAACTTCGCGAAACAGCGCAAGAAAGCGGGCGTGCCAGAGATCGATGTGAACAGTGTCCCAATAACTATTTCGCCAAAAATGATGAACCTTGATTTATAAGTAACTTAATATTGTTTTACTGCCTCCAAACATGTTTTCTGACACTTTCCCGGCTTGGCCTCTGCCAAGGAGCTGCTTGCTGAAAAGGATTACCAAGCTGCAGGAAGGCCTTGACAGGTTCAGTGCGGCAGACAAGCTTTCGAATTTGCAGTCGATGAGTTTTGGCTTCCAAAAAATCATTGAGCCTTAATGAAATTAATCCCTGGTGACACGCAACCAAAGTCTTAAAAACTTAGGATGATGAAGAAGGTTGAGCAGGGCATCGAAGACTTGACCAAGATCCACGATGAGATTGAAACAAAATTCAATTCTGGTATCGTCCATGGCTTTTCCAAAGAGTGCCCCTCTTATTTTCTATCACGCGTGCTGCAAAACATGTTGCTTTGCAGTATGGATCAAATCTAGTGTAAAACAGAAACAGTTTCCCACTCAGGTCTGAGAGCGAGCTTGAGAGCTTACATATCAAGGCAACCGAACAGTGGGGGCCCCACATGATTTTTGCCACATGTAAAAAAATGTAAAACATGTCAACACATTGTAGTCTATACTATTGTTAACGCAACACATGCATTCAGCCGCCTAGGGCTGTGCAGTGCCTGAGCTTGGAGAACCGTATGAGGCCTGCCTTGCCCATGTCGTTACTTCCGTGTCCCCTTTTGCAGGAATGACACCAATCTAGGATTCATTTAGACAAGAATGACACCAAACTATGATTCATTTAGTCAAGTTCTGGGGCGCCCATGATAAGGATCTTTCATATGAAATTGATTTATAAAACGACGTTTGGATTTCCACCCACCTGAGCCAATGCCGGCCTTCTCTGCCAGGACAGTCTTCCCAAAGCAGGCCAAGCCCACCAATCGGCCTCGCCGAGCGAAGAGGACCCAGGAAGCAACTGCCAAGGCAAAAGCCAAGGCTAATGCCAAGGGGAAGGCCAAGGCTAAGGCGAAGCCTTCAGCTTGAGAAATCCCTTGAGTTATTAATGGTAAAGTATGTGGGGCATCTGGGCTATCACCTAACATCATTTAACATAATCTAACATCATCTAACGTTATACGATCAGTCATACCCAATAAAATTGTTTCTAATCAGGATTTGTTTGAAGCTCACACCAAGGTTGTCCCATATCTTATTTGGATTTAGCCCTGTGTCTGGCCAGGCTTGTTCGGCATGAACCTACATGGAAAAAACGTAGTCAAATCATTGTTGATTTCTTTTGTGAATGCAACGTGGCCGTCACTTTTGGGCAACCCCGTTTTTGTGGAAGCGGGAATGGGATGGATGAGAAAGTTAGATTTCAAATTCAATAGGTACCGATGTGAACCTTCACTAAAACTGTGAGGGCTGGGCGATGGAGGGGTGAATCCCATGGCCCATTGCAGCATGGCAGTCGATCCGCCAGCTGGAGCTGCAACATGAAATGAGCGGAGAAAAACTGTCTGCTGTTGATTAAGTTGTCCTCACGCCAAACTATTCTTGTTTGACTAATGAAACAATAGTTATTTCCTTGGACCTTTTCTTGGGCCAGGTCACCAAGAGGAACAAAATGAAAGTGGTGACCTGACTGCTCTTGCAGAAGCAGTTGCTGAAGGGGCCACATCCTTATCCTGGACCCTGTGTTTTTTAATGTGGAACCATTATGTTTCCCATCCAAGTCTCCTTCTTCCAGCCCTTCCACACACATGGCCTGAGGTCCCAATCGTCCATGCCCAGAGCATTCGCCTTGGCGACGCTGCTGCCACTGGAATTGTTGGAAAAGAACATAAACTGACATGCAGTACTGGGAAATCCTGGAAAAACAATGCCTCGCGTAAAGTATGGAAAGTATTTAAGCAACGAAAGCTTGGCTGGGATGTGAAAATGAAAACTTTTGACTATATCACCGAATCTGGAGACACAATTCCAATTACATACCTCTCACCCTGTGACCTGTTCGAGTACTTGGTGAATCACCACCCTGGAGTATTGGTTGGGGGTCTGCAATCACAAGTGGACCGAGCAGAACACCTACAGGCTTTCTGGCAAGCCTTTCGTTTACAACACCAAGATCATATTGTGTACAGCGAACATGATGGGCAACTAGAAACTGTCATACCCATTTACTGGCACGGCGATGAAGGCCGTGGAAAGCGAAGGGGTAATACTGCTGTGGTTGCTATGGAATGTGTGTTTGGGAGCCAAACTGCAGTGAGCGCCCGCAAAAAAATACCTTATGCTGCCTGTCAATGCCAGCCGTCTTCTTCACTGAAGCGTCGCTTTGGGGATTGCAACCGAAAGTTAACCCAGAAACAGTTGGACATTTTGAGGCTACAAACTACGACGATGAAGGGTCACAGTTTTTTGCACCACTGGCCGCTTTTCATCATACCAAGTTCTATTCACCATGAACACCCCAAAGCGCTTATGCAATTGCTGGATGTCATGTCCAAGGACTTCCGCCAACTTTTCTATGAGGGATGCACAGGTTCTGATGGCAAGACCTACAATGCTGTAGTTATTGGAGCAAAAGGAGATCTAAAGTGGTTTACCAAAATTGCCCTTCAGAGATCCTATGAAAATCAGGGCCGTATCGCGGCCTACGCTTGCTGTCATGAATGCATGGCAGGGCAACCCGGGGTTCCATGGGAGGAGCTAGCAAGTGACAGGCCAGCATGGAGCTTAACAAGGTATGCTCAGCGGCCCTGGACTGACATACCATGCACAGTGCAGATCCCTTACTGCCCACAAATCCCTGAGAAGCAATTCAAAAGAGATCCATTTCACACGCTGAAACTTGGGGTATATCGTGACATTGCTGGAAGTATTTTGTGCTTCCTCGTGGCCAAAGGGTATTTTGGAACAGTTGGGGACTTTGATTCCAAACTGAAGAATGCTCACATGGGATTCACCCTGTATTGCAGGACTGTTGGTAAGTCCCCGGCATTGAGGACATTCTCCCGCCGGCTGTTTATGCTACCTCGGCTGGACAAGTACCCTTGGTCCAATACCAAGGGAAGTGATACAATGATCCTGATTGACTGGCTGACAGTCGCACTAGCAGGTTTTGAAAATGTCCCCTTGGATAATTCTCACTTGCCAACCTTCCGTTTGATGAAGGCTACTTGCAAAGCAGCTCGAAAAGTTTTTACTGACTTGAACGAGCATGGATTGTGGGCCATGAGGCCATGTTCAATGGTCTTTTATTCCAACATGCAGGGGCTGATCCGTGGCTACTGTGCCCTTGCCAGTGTCCTGTTGAATGATGAGTTCAATGGTTTTGCAATCAAACCGAAACTACATTTACTACGACACACAACACTGGAAATTGATGAAGCGCTCCAACAAGGAGACCAATGTGTTCTTAATTGGAACAGTGTGAACTGTGAGGCTGACGAGGACATGATTGGGCGCACTTGCCGCCTATCCAGAAGATTGGATTCCCGGAAAATAGGGGAAAGAGTCCTAGGATGTGTCCTCTTGAAAGCTGGCATCATGTGGAACCGGTTCAGAAAACTCCATAAGATCTGAGTGCCTGGCTGGAAAATGGGCCATGACAGTCACAGTCGATGCTTGGGCAGGGTTTCTAGTAATTATGGTTAGAACGATTTCCCCTCTTTCCTTCATGACAATTTGATACGCCTGATCCTGGAACATGATGTGGTAATCCTGCAAAAGGGTGAAGACAACACATGAGAACAGATTGAGTAGATACGCACTGCAGTATCTAATCTATTGAATCTATTGTGTGGGCTGGAAAGCGGCGATGGCCGAGCAAACATCCTTAAGTACACAGAAGATCACATGATATCATGGCAGTTTCTTTCCAGCAAGGGCCCTGATCTGAAACGACGTTTTTTCTGGGAAACGGCGATAAACAAATGAAACGTCAATAATAAGAGTTGTTTCAAGATCGAGCGTTAATTTTGCATAACCTGATGTTCTAGGTATATATATATATATATTTGCACATTATGTATATGCTTCAGGCATGTATTTGAATGAATTAAAACGTAGTCACTGCGACTTCTCTGGAATCGATGGGAAAAACGGGATTTTGGAGTAAACTTCGGGTGAAAGTCACAAGCTACAATCCAAGCTCTCAAACCACTAAGGAAAGACAAGACTTCCAACAAAACAGCACAATATTAGTAAAGCAATAGTAAACCATCCCTAGCCCTAGTTTATCTTAATTTTATCATGAAAATATGACTGGTATAAACCATCAGCACATATGGTTTACCAAGAAAAACTAGGTTCGTAGATAATGTAAACTTGGAATGTTAGATGTTAGCATGGGTGGTTTATTACACAATTAAACTAAACTATACTATGGATGTTCTTCCAAACTTCGAAAAAGCCAGGTCTTCTTCCCATCCGGGTCCCCAGGTGCTGGACTTGAGACGGAGCGCTTCGAAGCCCTGAGGAGCCAGGTCAAACGCCCTCTCTACGGCTGCGACTGTCCCTTGGGGGCCCTTGGGACCACAGGGCAGCTGGCAGCTTGCGAAGACTAAATGGCCTCAAGCCAAGGAGAAACAGAGTCACTTTTCCTCAAGCTAAAGGGAAAAACGGAGTCACTCTTCAATATGTTTGCATATTTTTGTTATGTAGTAGTCAAGCCACACGCTTCGCATCATTCTGGGGCGCCGAAAAAACATGAAAAAAACTGGGTGTCGGTGATCCCTTCATGGTCGAAACCTGCCGTGGTGTCCAATTTACAGTGGTGTCACTGCGTCACTTGCCAACTTGCCATAAATTAGATGGACCATTCCAGTTGCCGGAATTGGATGGAATTGGTAAGTGCGATTCAAGCCAGTCTAGTTATACTTCTGGGATATAACATGATATAACCCAGACACTGAGCAGTAACTCCACGGGCAATCATACGTGTTGGAAAATAATCTTCAATCTTGAGATAATGGCCAACTCATGAATTTTCAGTCGAATTGCTGATTTCAAAAAAATGAATGCTCTCGGGTAATTGAACATAGCCATGAACTTATAAATGATGGACCGATGGACCTACTATAATTGAAATTGCCAAGTTACCTAATTGTTGATGGTTCATGGTTAATGGTGTTAAATCATGTTAAATCCCAAATTTCATGTTGTTTTATGGCATTATGGTGAAATCCCATATGTCCACCATGTCTTGTTGCGAACTCTATGGCCTCGTCGCCGAGGTTACGCCTATGGTCTTTGCGCTTCAGGCTTTGGAGCAGACCTGGTGGTGGAAGCAGATTTGGGCGCCCTGCCGGAGGGGATTCTGCTTGGTGAATCATATATCTGGGTAAATTAGGCTTCGACCTCAGGGAATTATCCCAATATGGTCTTATTATGTCTTATTTCAGGTTTAGTGAAATATTATAATTTGCCCAGATATATTCATTAATTCATGATTTACCTGGGAGATATTGTAGTTTAGGGTGATTATATGTGGATGGGTCAAAATGATCAAAACCCATTGTTATCATATTTGGGGGAATAACCATCATTAACCAGCTATTTTAGGTAAGGGTACCAAGGTTTCGACCCATAACATCCATAATCATATATATATATATGTTTTTTAAATTGAAGCTGAAATCTGTAATGGGAAGATAATATGATACCTGGGTTTGTTGAAGTTGATTTGGTTGATGTTCCCAAAGGGAAATCCACTGCTTAGGCGTTCCTTAAGCAGATCCAAGTTCAAATCCACGGGAAAACCTGGCATTTTCTGCGGAAAATGCGGGGTAGGCTAAAGACTGGTATTTGTTTGCTTCAAAGTGTGCGCTGAGCCGATTTGCCCCGCAGAAGACTTGGCTTTCAAGATAGATTTTGCCATATTTTGCCTAAAAAGAGACATGTAAGTCATGCAAGCAACAAACAGCGGCTCAACCGGGTCAATTGGTTGGACAGTTCTGAACAGATTCGGCCCCGCATGGGCTCTACCAACTCCAACCCCAAGGCATCTATGACTACATGGCCCTAGTGCCCGTGGTCATCAACGCTGGAGGATGCATGTCCGACTGGCAGGGACAGCCCTTGACCTTGCAAAGCCATGCACCTTGGCGACAGGTCCTGGGATAGGAGGATCAGGTTGACAAAGCAACTTAACATAGTATATAGAACTATTACATACTATTATACACATATATATATACACATATGTATATATATATATATATACATATATTATATATATACATACATATATATATATTATATATATACATATAGTTATATATTATATATACATATATAGTTATATAGTAGTATCTATTGTATCTAACTATTTTCGAAGACCAATCACGGGTTTGTTTCTGAATTTATGGGAGCTTTATGAACCAATTGTTGTGTTTTTGTTGTTCAACAAAATGACGGTCTTTTCGCATACTCTCGCCATTGTGCTTTTCTCGTTTTTTTTGAACAAAATCTTTGTTTATTCGGACCCAGCTGTGTCATGTTGCGCAATCAAAGTTTCTTGAAAATGCACTCACTCATAGATCAAGAAAAATGATATACTCGGTTCTTGCTGTGCAAGGTGTTTCTCCATTTTTTCCTGACTTTTCAGACCAAAGTCTTCACCAATCCACGAACGGCGAACGGTCCAAAAACGGTAAGTAAATCACCATCAAGAAAGTTGGTTGTTGAACATAACCAATCTTTTTAGGGATTTTAATGGTCCCCCCTAAAAAAGATTGCAGCCATCATCCTCCTCCTCCCAGGAAGTGTCGAAAGGCCGTGTGGTGGCCGCTGCCACGCCTGAACTGTGGGAGGCCGAAATTTCGTCCGCCAGAGATGGGTCTGAAAGGGATATGCGTACCTCCAAAATTTGATGGGTGAGTACATAATATGATTCCCATGAGTTCCCATTTGCATCCATTTGCTATATAGTGAATTGTACTATCTATCTATCTATCTATCTATCTATCTCTATATGTATATATATATATATATAGATATAATTAGACTTAAGTTTGGCGGTATACGGAATGGGTGGCTCAACTACCATCAAAATAACAAATTATAATAAATTAAATGTTTCCCAAAGCATCCGTACTTATCCTTTGTTTGGACATCCGCGGCTTTCGCTCACTGCTCCTATGACATCCCTTTTCAGAAAACACAGATACCACTTAGTTTTGGTTTCTGTATGTTGCACCCTTTCACGTCTAGCCCCTGTTGTTGTTTCCCATGTTTGCCCTTATTATGTTCTTTGCACATACTCAAAAAATGCCATACATGGACGGTTTAGATATGATTATGGCTATGGTTACCTCCTGAAAATTAATGGATAGTTAATCAATCATGATAAATTTCAGTAAACGTTGGATGAACAATATATAATCATATACCGTGCTAAGTGATCCAAATATGGAGCAATGTTTTTTCCCAGTATTGGTTTAATGGAACACAGGTTTTCCAGGAGATGTTTCCTTAAACCACTGATATTCCCATGAAGTCCTACGAAATCTCACGATTCCCCTTACCATATCCATCCATATCCATCCATATTCCACTAATTCCCTTTAATCCCAGCATTTTATGGTTGGTTCATTGAGTTCATTGTTCGTTCATTGTTGCTGAACAACTCCCCAAGCCTCCGGAAGAGCGAGGCTGCTGTGAAGGTGTTGAGCACCTCAGGATCCAGATGGAAGAGCTGCGCACCGTCGTGGCCTTCGGTGGTTTTAGGAGCAGTCACTGGGATGATTTTCAAGCAGCCAAGAGGTAAATCAATGGGTCTACAGTCATGGGATTTAATGTGATTTTAATGCTATTTATGGAATTCTGTGGGATATGAATGGGGTATGATGTGATTTCACAGGACTTAATGGGAGTATCATTGGGATGATTTAAGGGGAAATTTTGGGGCAACTAGCATTGTCCGTGTAAATATTCGAGGAAACGTGGGACTTGAGACGCAAAACAGCGGGTCATGGATTCAATCGTAAGAAAACATGGGACATTACCCTCCATTAAATTAGCATTGCTTTTGAACATGGCCCATTTCTAGTTGATTTATATACCTCATTAAACTATTATAGAAAAAGTGGTGCGTTTTCATAGCCATGTTAGTATACCAGGTAACTGGCAAGAATGGATGAAACCAACCAAGACATGTAGGAAATTGATCGAGTAACAAATGAACAAACATCACCATGCAAAGTGACGGCCGTGTTCTCTGATGCCACAGGAGCCATCCTTGGAGCTTCCTTGGCCTTGATGGCATCACGGAAGTAGCCAGTGCCTGGCCAGTGCCTTGCGCTCAACGAGATATCAAAATGATTGATACTACCGGGGGCCCCGCACTAGTGATGTTAGTGTATGAAGACCAGCTTTTCCCCTTTGACTCGCAGTGCAAAGACTGTAGTTTACAACATTGTCTCATTATGTCTCCTTCGTCTCTTGTGAAGCAAGGATTTCCTTGGTTTTAGGGCAAACCGTCAGAGATGCCCCAGCAAAAAAAGACATGAACAACTGTGTGAAGTGAGGAGTCTTCAAGACGCGTGTTCGTTGGTCCCGCCAACTACAGTAACAACCAATGCTTGCTTGAGTTGCTGGTCCAGAGTGGTGCATGGACCAAGAATCTCACAAAGAATGTCCTCACAGTTTATTTGAAGAGATGTGGTGATTCCATTTTGGAGACCCATTAAATCATCCACCATATTTCTTGGTCCAACCTGAAGGGTCTGAATTTTGGTCTGCATGGATCTGAATGGGCACCCAGTTGAGGTACCGATGAATGGCACGCAGGGATCTTTGGTTTTCGCAGTTGAAAGGGTGGCAGCTGAGTGGAGAGTTGGCACAGTTGCGGCCTGATGTTCCATCGAAAAACATCGAAAAACCTGGGAAACCTTTTTGGAGTTTTTTTTTTGTGGGCTAAAAGTTAGATGGATTCTTGGATATTCTTGGAATATCACCTTCAAATAGCAAATGCTAAGGGAATCCAGATCCTGATTCCCTCTTGGTTTTGCCAAAAAAATGGCTAGATGGGATGATCCGGTGATTTTTGGCGAGCGACTGGATGGGATGATCCATCAGTTTAACTGCCATGCTGTTTATCATCATATTCCACATTGATGTTGAAGTGTATATTGCTGTTTTTTCTGGGGGGTATGCTGTTTACATAGGACAATCCTATGTTCACCCTTGTTCATTCATGTCCACAATTGATTAGTTTCGTTGAATATCAATCCAGTAAATTGGCACAGATCCATATATATATATATATCGATATGTAAATCAAAATCCTTTCCAATGAAATGATCTACAAACGCTTGCTTCTCCATAGTCTCATCCCTGGAAAACTTTAAACCCTGATTAAGTAAGAACTACCACCAATCACTAGTGATACTGTGCTACTCAATTGCTACCCCCCCCCCCCCAGCCCCTGCATTATAAAAACAGCCAGGCGTCTGGAGAGGTTTACGGCCGCCTGGCACGAGATCCCTCGCGCCCGCGCTATGTGTCCTGGCTGGGACAGTTCGGGAGCGTAGAGCAGCCCCCCAAAATAGATATAGAACATGACTGTATCGTTTTATTTTGTTTTATCACTTTTGTTTGATTCGATTTGTCTGCTCTATTCTTTGTGGGGGTTGCTAAGACAAATGTGTACGTACGTAAAAGTGAGGTATAGGTAAGATTCTTTTTTGTAACATGATCCAATGATCCATCATCTTGAGTACAGAGCCCTGTGTTGAGATTATTCCGTCCGCGTGGACCAGAGTTATGTTGGTCATTTCTTGTATGAATTCTCCAGTTTCGGGAGAGGATTCGGCAGCATTCCCACGGGCACCCGTTTTCAGCTTCCAAGGTCTTGACGAAGATGGGCAGCAACCCTATGCGTTGGGGCCCTGGAGATCTGATCGAGGTGAACGAGACCCCACATTTCGAACCACCAGTTTTTTCAATACGTCGAAACCATCCATGGATTTTTGCCCATATCCCCAGAAAATATGGCCAGAAATATGGTTTATAGTTTATGGTACTATATCCAAGATATTTCAATAATGGATATATGTGATTATATATATATATATGTAATAAAAATAGCAAACACGCGCACGCGCACACACACACACTGTATATACGTATATGAATCATTCCACTGATGGGAAATCATGATTATAATCCATATTTACAATATATATATATATATAGATTATATGACTATTTCCCACTAGAATGATTCGAATATCACATATATATATATATACATCATTATACATCATTATACATCAAATCACAGATCATAATCTATATATTTCCCATGAGCCGGAATGATTCATATCACATAATATACATCATTATTATACATCAATTTCCACATTATGGAGATGTATAATGATATTATACCATATTGTACCATATCTACGGTATCACCTATTACTATCATCATTATACCAGAAGTGAGATGATATAATCCCACTTAACATATACTATCGTATCACTTATTATACTATCATCACTTATATGCCACTTATTGATGGAGAATCCCAACTTTCTTTCGCTGCCCAGCTCCCGCGACCCTGGTCTTCGACGGCCTCTTCAAAGAACACGCCGTCTTGGCCTCCGACGGCGTCCAAGCAGTCGGGGCCACCCGGTCGTGGGGTCGTTGATGTAATGGGGGGGTCTTTAAAGGGACGGTTCAAAGACGAAAATATGGCAAACTTGGCTAAACACCTGGGAATTTCATGGGATTTTCATGGGATGTTCATAGGAAAACATGGGAATTTCAGTGAATTTATGAGTTTTAGATCCTTTTGTCGATGGGAACATATTTTCAGAATGATTGTGATTGATGATTTATAGATTCAACAGCAAAGTTGAGGATGTTTTTTGTTCAAGGTCGAACGGGTTTAAGCGAACGAAAAAATGGGGGTTGAGGCGGATGAGAGAGAGAGAGATAGATATATATATATATATATATATACGATCCCGTGGCCGGTCGTTGAATGTATCGAGACATTCATCAACTGTGGCGTCAAATCAGGTTTGGATTTTGGGGTATGTTTAACTTGATCAGATGGGTGAAGAATTGAAGGATGAACTGGGTTGCACTTTGGGTGCTTGGAATATTCTTGCCACGGGTAAAAGATGAAAATTCGATAAAATTCGATCTGTGCGCACACATTCTGGGCTGGGGACCCCTCTTCAAATTCATCCAATTGAGCACAAATTTTGCAAAGAGTTAGGACTAGCCCCAAATCCACCAGATAGTGATCTAGATGTATGTTGTAGGATGATGATGATGATGATGATGATGATGATATGTACCTATATTTACATTGATTATGTGTTTAAGCAGAAAAAAACACGCACACTGAGTCAAACTCGAGTGGTGATCCTCCAGGAACCTGCGGCTGACGCTGAGCCCTGCAGTATGTCCTTTGACCCTCAGGGAACTTACTACAGGTGCGCCGGGGTCTGGATTTTTTCGGCTTCAGACATACCTTTACATAAGCCTGAAAGATTTCCATAGCTTTTCGGATGCACAGAATTTTGTGCGTCGCTGTGCCCCATTTCGAGATGATTCCAGGTTTTTCTTGGAACATGACATTCTGAAGTGTCCACGCAAAGAAAACGGATTTGTTTCAGGTGCCTTTAACGTGCAACATTGATTTTTGACGGATTCGCATGGTATCAAGCAATCTGTTTGAATAATGTTGAGGTGTCTTTGGTTCACACCTACCATTTTACCATATTTTACCCAAGAACTGGATAATGGACCTTGATCTTCAAACGAGCATCAATTTCTGGTTGTTTGCTTCTTCGAAGAACAACTCAGGAAGACCGTACAATTACCACTAAAACCCATGGTTTCCTGTAGAGTTCGAAATGTGTTTCCAGCCTATTTGGCCACTTGGAGCCAGGTTGCGAGTCTCATCCAACGTGGATGTTGGACTCATGATTTGTTGCCTGTTGTCCATCGATGACTCTCGGCGCAAGGGTCGCTGATTTCTTAAGTCCTTTGTATGTGGCAATGGAGGCCGCTGATATGGTGCCCCAAACGCATCCAAACGCTTTCTTCGGCCTAATATCAGCAACGACAAAGAGATGAGCTGATATCAAGAATTGACATGCTGATTTTGCTATGCGCGGTGGGCGGGAACACAACATGTGCTTAGCGCAATCATCATCATCATCATCATCATCATCGTCAGAGTAGTCGCAGTCATTCCTCTTCTTGAATGTCTTGAAGCTATCGAGTAAGTGAAAACTGAACCTCTTCAAGTCCTGTGTGTCCAATTGATCAACATGTACTTTTCATGTGTCAAAGCCACGCCCAAGACATCACCATATTTCTGGTAAACCTGGCAGGTAAACACCACACCACCCCCCTGGTCATCCCCGGTCCTAGGAGTTGGTGAGATTGGGCGCCTAGCGATGGCTGAATCTCAGGAGATCATGGGGAATCAACGACCGTCCACATGACGACCGGATTTTTTTTGCGCGGTTAAAACTACCAACCAGTTTTTGGATCTGGGATAGATTACAACAACCCTGGCTAACCATTCCCTTGGCAATGCTATATGACTTTCAGAGCTAGCTTCCAGACTGTACAACCATCGAGCAGGACACATCTAGGATCATCTAGGTATCTTGTTCACCCAAAGTTCTTCACCTAACCACCTGACCTAACCCAACTCTGCGAAAATATTGGAGAGAGAGAGAGAGATCTTCATAGAAAACGCTTCGGTCCGTGACAATGCCACCAGATTGCGTCTTGAAGCCCCCTGCCGTGGTATGCCGGATGCGATGTAGAGGCAACATTTTAGACACACGATCGGATATGTTGATGGCAGGGCCAAGCCAAAATTGTTTTTTCGCCATGTGTTCTCGATCTGAGTCTGAAATCTTCTCAGGGGGAAGTCAACTTGAACCAACATTCGCAACAAGAATCTACCCTCTGGTTATTTAACATAGCCATGGAAAATTGCCCATTTATAATTAGATGGTTTACCTGGGTTTACCTATTTAAAATGGTGGTTTTCCATGGCAAACTGTGAGTCATAACCAGAGGGTAAGTTTGTTTGAGTTGGCTGGTTTCGTCATCGCGTCCTGTGAACAGTCATTGCTTCAATTAATTGCATGTGCTGCCGTTCCATGATGGTTCCATTAGTTTCACAGAATGGACAGTATGACCGGTTCAGTGCATGTTTGTTAAAAAACACAAATGGGGCAGAATGATATGTCAGTGAAGTTATCATCAAAAACAAATTGGTTTGAAGTTTTGGTTCAGTTATCATCAACATAGCTAAAGCTGATATAGATATGATGTATTATCATTTAATCTATTCTTGGTACTCTATGTTCATATGTTTCTTTAAATCATGGAGCACCCTTCCGCCAATTCCTAGCTTTGGCGATGGCTCAGACGGAAAGCTTTGGCGAGCGAACCGACCGTGGGATCATTCGATCAAGACAGAGACATCAAGGCCTGAACCATCCATTGCATCCATGTTTCAACGGATTGGGTTAAGGGAAAATCTTAACCGGAAACCATAGGAAACCATATAGAATTTCCCATTAAATGTAGGGTTTTCCATGGTTTTCCTGTAAAATTTCCCTTAAACCAATCCATTGAATGTTGGGTATTGACTCTCCATGTTTTTCGGAGCAATTTGTTCAATATTTTCACCCGGCCGCAGATTTGTGGATGACGATGCAGATGGATTCTCAGCAACGCATCACTGTTCATTTACCACCTTATAGTTATGTTAGTTGGTTCATTAAAGGCCCATTGACTATGACATTACGTACTTATATCATTGTTACATCATAGTTATATCCCCCCAATCACCCCTAATTAATCTAGTTATGTTCACCAAGTGAGCTATCTCATATAGCAGGCAGCACTGGACAGTCTGAGCCAAAGCCACGATCCGTTCAGCGCACAAAACCAGCGCGGAAAACTTTGAAGTTCGAAGTTCGCCGCAGGGAGGATTGGAAGGTTGCGAGCTACCCTCCAGTAAACTAACATAACTGAAGCCATGGCCTATGAATAGATGATCTAGCTATTCAAAATTCAAATGGTGATTTATCCATATTCAACATATGGCTATATCAATGTTAAATTACCCGAGGGTACCGGATGTGATATGATGTGATGACACTGGCCTGTATGATCAAACTCTAAGTGTTTGCTGCTGGAACTGTTTGCAAGTTGTTCCTTTAATTTTACAGAAATAGACATAGATGTTAAATAAATAGAATGTATCACCTTGGAACCATTGAATATTTGGTGGTTCAAGAGTGCAAGAATTCCCTCGCCTTTTCTTCACAAGTTGTCACAGTTCTATCTTCACTCCATTCTGGAGCGAGTCTTTCTGCAGTAAACTGGGGCAACATCTGTGGCACATATTCTTCAATTTCTCAACCACGCATGATCAAATAGTTGTTCGAACATATCAGTGCAGATGGGATGATCTAAGGCTGCAGAATCCAGCCTGGTGCCTCATTGGAGGACCCATGGGGCCACGGCAACAAGAAGAAGCGCAAAAAGTGAACGGAAACCACGGCAACTTCGAACCCAAATCTGCTTGATTCCATGATATTCCACGTCAGTTTTCAGAGGTGTAATTTCTCATCCATCGTAAGCTGCTTAGTTAGCCAGGAGGGCCTCCTTCTTCCATGGTGGATTTTCCATGACTTTCCATTCCCACAGTTGCTGGCTCTCCGTATCAGCTGGAACGCCTACAGATGATTTGATTCCTAGGGCCCAACTGTTGGGTTCTAAGATGCTGTAAATCGGCACATGCCTTTTGGTTATTGAATGTAGCGAACTGGACACTCACCATTCGGGTATATGTGTAATATTATGTAATCATACATTCTATAAATGGGTCATGTTCATCCATTTTCCATATGTAATCATCCATTTTCCATAGTTCATCCATTTTCCATATTCACTCTATAAATGGGTATATACGTAATCATACATTCTATGTCAAATAACCATGGTGGGCCAAAAAAAACCTGAGAACGGTGGGGCTGTGTCTTCTGCTAGGACTCTGGATCTCCACCGCAAAGAAGTTCTCAGGCAGCGGTTTTCGGGAACGTCCAATTTTTGCGGGATCTGAAAATGAAGGGTGGCACAATGGTGGCACAATGGTGTCACACACTTAGGAGTAGGATCACTTGAGTCACCAAGATGTTTGATTTATAAATTGATTATTATTTATATTGATGATTATATACTGATTATATATTGATTTATTGGTTATCATTGTTTGATTTATGTGATTCGTACCGGCTGCAGGCTGCATGTCTGGGAGGATCCATGTAATACGATCCAGGCTTGCAGGCTGAACATGTCACAGCTGGTGGTTCTAACGTGGGATCATATCAGTCTGGGGCAGCTTCGACATGATGTGTGGACAAGATAAACAGAGCTGGAACACTGAAAAATGACCAGGAATCTTGAACAGGGGTTGCTAAATGTCCTAATTGAACATCACCCAAAAATTGGGGATATAATTTTCAACAGATATTTGAAAGTGATGTTAAAAATCCCCAAAATAGCACATCTACCAAGCCCTGAGGAATCTCGAAAAGATAGCTGTAGTCCAGATTCCAAGCAAAGCTTTCAGGACCGGCTTTATTTTCAAAGTTTAGTCATGCCAAAGCCACTATTCCATTCTTCTCGCCCTACTGAAATGCAGAGTGGTGTCAGCGGTACTTTATTCAGGCAAAAAAAATGATGGGCACCGGAATGTTCAACTCTCAGGCAGCTAGTCTTGACATGTCTTGACCAGGATTCCTATGCTTCAAAGCCTTCTATGTCTTTGGGCACGTCACCAGACATGTCAGGGGCCCTCAGAACTGGTACAGGAGGTGGTTGACGCTGAACAATGGGATCTGCTCAATTTATTCCTTCAAAAATAGGATATGTCCCCAACAACGAGAGTCCTGATGGTTTGGGGAAAGATTCCTCACCCAGAATATGCTAACACGGAGGTCTTCCAGCTGGGCTTGGGAATACAGCACCAGGAAAGAGTGACTCCTAAAATCATTTCAAATCGCTGTTTGAATTTGGATCCACTTCGGAATGGAGCCGGACCAGTTGCTGTCATTTTTTTAAAAATCCGTCGTTGCCCCATGTGGACGTTGAGGCTGAGCCCGGAAGTGCGACAGATGTGGCTCAACCAGGGCACGGTTGGGGTCCAGGTTTTGGACTGAACTGGAACTGGATGAATTGGCATCGTGAGGTCACTGGAATGTATGTTTTAACCATGTTTTAACCATATTTTAACCATGTTTTAACCATGTTGTATTATGTTATGTTATATAAATGAGTATATACGGATATACTATAATGATATATAATGTAAACCTTTTGCTGGTTTCATGTTTTCTTATCCCTTCTGCCATAGATCACAAAAGCACAATTTCCGCCTAGGCGGCGGACTTTGAAGATTCCATGGTGGGGCAGCTCTTCGATTCACCCAAGGCTTTGGGGATGGCTTGTCGCCATAAAAAGAAATGGTGATGACTGGGGGTTGGTGCATGATTGGGTTTACCGCATTACCCTCTGGTAATTTGTTACATAGCTATGGAAAGATCCACCATTTTTAATCGGAAAATCCACTATTTCTATGGCGATTTTCAATAGCTATGTTAGTTTACCAGAGGGTAATGTGTATACATACATACATACATGCATGCATATCACTTACCAAGATGTTAATCCAAAGGTCCCAGGGAATGATTGCGCGGGATGTGCTGGCCTTGCTGGCCTTGTTGCCGGCTTGTTGCTGGGCTCACCAGGTTGACCCAGGAGTGGCCACGTAGCAAATCCTGATTGGATGATGTTTTACATATCCATATATATATATATATTTGGATAATGGATATATTGGTATTAATATATACTTAGTATTGGTATATTGGTATTGATAATACTTGGTATATGGATAATCCAATTAAGCCTGATGTAATTAAAGTATTTATAGTATTTGAGGTTCCGGTATGTTTCTGCTGGAACATGGGGCTTGTTTTGTTCTCATTTTGCAGGAGGACATCATTTTTTAGGACGGCCATCTCCAGACTAACTATATGCAGATGGATGAACGTGGCACAAGACAGGGCCCACCTACCCAAATGATACCAACATATTGCAAACTTACATCCAAATCACATAATCACCAACTGGTCGGTTGTCAGTTTTTTTTCGGAATCAGAAACTCTGTAAAATTCATCGATATATAATTCTATAAATATAAATATAAATATATATATATATATATATATATATACATTATATATACAATATGTATGTATACCATAACTTCTTTGGAGCATATTGAGCATATCGGTCCAAGTTTCCCATGTTGATCCCGGGCCAGGCTGCGTCCAGGGGTGGAAGCTCTCCGCCGCTTGGCTTAAGGCAGGAATCCGCCGCGTCCAGGTCCGGTGGTAAAACGGCCCGGGCTGTTTTGGCACGCCCCAAACTGATTGGTGGTTTTAAACATGTTTATTTTTCCATATTGGGAATAATCATCCCAGCAAAAGATGCCAAAAAGTGGGAATCCTGGAAATATGTATGAAACAATATGAAACATCATCGCACAAAAACCACCTGGAAACACTTCAAACGGCATTTTTTGGGGAAGGCTACATATATTTTACAAAATCGATGGGACATGATTTTACGAGAATGACTGCAACAAATGCTGCTTGAGAAGATGCCAAAGTTTGACCCAAAAGGCACTGCAAGGGCCCCAAATCGCAACTATGACGCTGTTTGTTGGTGTTGTCTCCTACCGATCTAAGATGGTTCACATCCGAATGATATTCCATGGTTAGACTCCTACAATTTGATTGCATGATTTTGTGGTGACTGAAATCCAACTTGGTCTCATACCTTTGACCAATCTACCCTTCAATTTCAATCGAAAATCCACATGTCAGGGAGCTGAATCACCTACAACATTTTGCAAGCTAGCTTGCCAGCTGGTAATTAAATGAACTGTACATTTGTACAGTGCAGTACAAAGCTAGCTTGCCAGGTGGTAATTAAATCACTGCACGAACAGCACTTGTATTCGAATTTGCTGGGATTACATTCGCAGATGTGGAACCTCATGTGCTCACCGAGGAGCTCGAAGCTCAAACGTTTCGGCGGCGGCCGGGAGACCTGTGACGGGATTTTCAGGGACGGGACTGGAGATGTGGGCTACGAAATGTGAAGGTCTAGACGCTCTAAGCACCGGTGAAAGTCCCAGAATAATGGGCATACTACCTCATATTCTTATAGGTAATTACTTGGAAATGTTCAAACCTATAGGGAAGTATAGAGAAGCATAGAATTGCGGCTCAGGAAAACATGGTTTTCAGTTCTCAGTTCTCCAGATGAAGAAAGAATTTAAGTTGGGGATAGTTATTTTAGCTAACCAAGTCATAATCCAACTTCGCTATGGGTCACCACCTTGCTGGGAGATTTATCCATAGTGCCCACCATGGTTTCTGACTGGGGGCCTTGGGGACCACTCCAGGATTTAGCTACGCAGAAGGCACACCTGCTGATTTCGAGGCCGGGCTTGAAAGATGGCATCCTCAAAAAGATAGAAACGTAGAATCCTACTCAAAATAAGCTTAAGGTATGTTAAAGTAACTATATAACTGTGTTTCTCTCTTTCTGGGTGCTCGTATATGTACTTACATTGATTTGATATATGCAGATATTATAGATGTATGCAGATTAGAGAGATGGATAGATAGGTCGACAGGTCGACAGATAGATACTGTACGGTTTTCTTAAGTTGGGAGATCCCCAAAACCATGGGTTTCAGTACTAAAATAGTGTATTTTAGGATGATTTAGGGGTACCTCCATTTCAGGAAACCATAGGAAACATGCGTGTATATATGTATATATATGAATGCATATACATATATATATATATACACATATATTTATATATATATATATGATAGACAATAGATATGTACACGTGACATAGTTTTAACAATTTATAACAACTACCCTCAAACATGGCCTGCAGGTAGGTATACCATGGTACACCCAGTTTTCCGGATCCAAGACTGTCCCATCTTGGGGGCAGATGGGGGCAGTAGCTTGGGCAGGGGATCATAGGGGTTATGTCCCAACTTATGGGAGTTAACTCATCATGGTTATACCCATTTTTGAACTTCAACTGTCCAAGTGCAGCAAATCGCGCAGCAACTGGATCAGTTAGATCCTGCCAGGATTCCATTGGGGGCACCGCAGGACTGGGACTAGCTGTGGCTGTGTGGCTTTTTTTGGTTAGGGCCCGGCTGAGGAAGGCCTAACTTGGTTACATTGGAAACCCGGCTCAAGGAGCTGCGATTTTTGGAGCTTTTTTGGTTGGGTTTCACCTGTTTTTTTGGCATCATCCATCTGGGATGATCATCCCACTCTTCCACCTTGTGGGGAGAGGCCTGCCCTAATTCGCTTGACCATTAGTCTAAATTGTACACGGTATGAATCAACATGAAAGCTAATTCTAGGACATTTTAATCACATTTTTTTTTCATCTATTGTGGCGCAAACACAGACATATGCGTGTATATTACATTGTACTACAGATGTGTTGCATTATTTATGATAGATATGTTTATTGTGTTGTATTATGGTGTATTCAATATATATTTTTTACATGGTGAGATGTTACATATCACATATGTTTTTAGTTTCACATTATATATATATACTACACAAACGTTTAGTTTGTTCTTTAATATCCAGTAGAAATTCCTACAGCCGACTACACAGCTTCAACGTCCACCAGGATGGCCCGACTTCGTCAAAGAGGACGTTGTTTTATGTCACTGGTTGAGCTGGTTATATCTGCTTGGTCGTTTGGAAGATGTTTGGTTCATCCCCAATACTACCATAAATGGGTTGGATTCCAACCATCCCCAAATGCTAGGTATATCATAATATTATTATTATCACACATAACTGGTTGGTGGTTTGGAACATGCGTTTCATTCTCCCTAACCAGATTGGGGATGATGATCCAATCTGACGAACTCATATTTTTCTGGGGGATAGGTATACCACCAATTAGAAAGTGCTTGGAAATCACTGGAATGCTTCAAACACCGGTGAAGCCCAGGAGTCCTCAAGCGCGAACACGGGGCCCAGTTGGCAACCTTCACTCAGGTTGGGAAAACTGGATATGGATCTCCAGCAACGTGAGATGATTTCTGGATATGGATTTCTACTGTTAAGATTCTTTCACATAGAGGAGAAAGGTTGAAATATGTTGAAATTGAATCATGGTTTTTAAGCTTTAGTTGCCTATAGTTGCAGGGTTTTTGAGTTTCTAGTTTTGCGTTGAAAAGATTTCATGATTCATGATTCATGATCCTTCGGATTGTTTGGTGGGAGTTACCTTTTGTCGGCACCACTCATGTAGACACCATGTGCTGCCTGGATCCTAATCCATCAGTCATGTCAAAACCACCAAAGAGATCCAAAGAGCGCTAAATGCTTGGATTCTCGCATTTGAATCCATTTGATTGGATAGTGAGTCAGTTGATTGTTGATGGTTTGTGATGTCTCTGGCAGTGATGACTTGGGCTGCCAGGGGCTCATCGGGTGGACATCCTTGGGGGTTCCCACCGTTTGAAAACAAAAAAGGCTGGTGATTGTGAATTTGGGTGAGTACTTTTTCCAGTGAATGTTTCCTACTTTTTCCCGAAGCATCCTGAAAAATCTCTTGCCTTTTCGCCACTGACCACAACTGATCTTGTACCTTCAGGTAGGGGCTGGAAATCAGACAGCATTTAGGCATAGAAATTTTGGCCGCGACCCACATATTTTTTCCCCGCTATGTCTTGGTAGTGTTTAAATGTGTTTAATATACCGCAACATATCTAAAAAATATAGTAACTATTTATAGCTATATAATTTCTTTTGGGGTTCCTGCGATTTGATTTAACCTTGAAACCCATGGCAGATTGCCGTTGGATGCCCTCAGATCAGGCCGAAAGGACATGATGTGTGAGCTGCCGGCTGGCTGAAGAAACAGATTGAACCAATGACAACTGCGGGTTGAAGCAACAAAAATCCATCCAAAGATTTGAGTGGACCATGATTTGATGGGAGTATGATGTGAAATTCCTGAAATTCTTGAAAGTGCAAAAACAAGACTGAGGCACATGGCTTGAAAAAAGTCCAGCAGGGAACCATCGTGGTGAAACGGGGGATATCGTTGGCGGTTCACGGAACCGCGCCGCGCCGCGCGGCCGATCTCGGCCCTGCCGTTGTTTCACCGACACCGCTGATGCCCTTGGGAGAGCCTTGGGAATATTTCGTAAACCCAACAAGAAATCTACCATTTCAAAATGGATTATACAATCTATGTCAATCTATTTTGATTTTGGGATATTTTGGGGGTGGTGCACTATTGGGCTGGCAGCATTACATAGTTCTGAGAAGTTGAGTAGTTCAATGGCTTTCGTATCTTTAAGTGTAAGGGTTTATGGTGTTTGATGGCTAAAAACATTTTGAAACCATGAAGGAAGGACTGTGTGATATCCGCTGCAATTCTTCTTCGAGGTATTGAAGGTCATGAATTTGACCACCGAAAAAAAATCCGTCGGTGAAGAGTCCCACCTATGAAATCTATCGTCAGTAGTTACGGTAACTCACCTCACTTTAACATCTTTAGCCACCATTCCATGGAAATGATAGGAACCCCTAATGATGGGGCTCCCATTCCCATACTGCTCTCATACTACTCCCAAAAAAAAGACAAATCGTATGGGAAGATTGTGGGAATGGGGGTCCCATGATGGTCCCCTATCAATTCCATGGATTCCACCCACCGTAGCTTTGAACGTCGCCAATCAGTGCCTGTGCCCAGGGTATCCCAAGGTCAGTTCGGCTGGTTTTAGTGTCGATTCGTCGGGTCGTCGCGACGTACCTTAGGTGCCGCCCTGATGAAAAGCAGACGATGGGACGATCGGGCTTTCCTGTGTGGACATGGCGGATGACTGCGAAATACTGCGAATTTGGCAAAGAGGGTGGCATTATGTGGCATTAAGGATCATTAAGGTATATAAGTTATATTTATTTATTAAGTTATAAAGTATAACAGGTTGTTGTTTGTTGCGGAAAGAGATGACTGTTTACGCTAAGGATTTGCATATGATTTTATAATATTTTATATAATTGTATATGCAGGCAACAACCCAGCATACATGATCATATATGATCATAGATCAATGAGTTCTAAACTGTTTCCGTCGCCATTTAGCGCTGCCCGCCAGCGTGCCGCCGTCGTTTGGGGACTTGGACAAAACGGGAAAAGGTGGTGCCCCATAGCTCGCTACATGACCTTCATGGTGAGATATGTAATGATATTCTGGGGTTATAACATGTTATAACTTATAACCAACTTGTAACCAACTATAATCATTGGTTATAATCCAATTAGCAGCATTGTGGGGTTAACTTATAATTCTACAGATTCTACAGCTGGGGTTATAACCAACTTATAACTGGGAGGCAGCACCTTGATGATGACTTTAGCGAGGTAAAACGCGATGGCGGCCAGTTGGGCAGAAGAGGTTCAGGACTATCAGCTCCTTGCAGTGCAGTGGAGTTGTTGATTTATGAATATTCATGATACTGTATGTTTTTTGTGTGTCTTAATGTTTCTGAACGTGTTATGTTATGTTATAACAAATATTTATTCATTTACATATACATGCATTATATATTAATTATTTTATATTATATATATAATATGTTATACATGTATATATGTGTATATATGTGCACTATAGTTTTTTCCATGTGAGTACTTGGAATATACTTGTAAGCATCTTGCCATGACTCACCTCTTCAAGACCGGACCCATGACCGCCCCGGTTGACAGAGCGCTCAGGCGCCGTATTTGTCGTATGATATGGCAATAGACATGTGTCACGGTAAATTCATCAGGAACCCTCTGAGTTCCTCAGCTTCAATTAATCTTGCTTTACCAATGTTTATCGAATGTCAATGCCCAGAAGTTGCTTATCAATGCAATCCTTCACACAACTTGTTGGTTTCTCAATGTTTTTACTTAATTCACTTGATGTTGTGAACCCCAAGAGCGGCTACGCCGGCAGCCGAGGCATGACAGAAGGGTGAAGGTGCACCCGGACCTGTTCAAAGGTCGCACGGTGGGTCTCGAAGCTGCAGGAAGCGGTGGGACGGGGCGGTGCTGAAGGTTTGGGGTAAAGGGGCAAAGGGGGGTTCCATAGTCAAGGGCAAAATGGATGGTTTATATATGTTTATATAAGTTTATAACGGAAAATCCCACGAAAATCCATGACCATTGGGACGGTTAACCATAGTTGAGCCATCGAGCCATCGAGATTGCTATCTTCTCATATCTTCTCCTTTGTTTGGGTGTTAAGTTGTTCTAAGCGCATCATTTTCGCTGGTCCCCAGCTTTTCTCAGGCTATGTGCGTGGAGAGAACAGCAAGAGGGAGCGCAGCTACAATCCGTCGCCTCGGCTGACCTGCTCTGACCGTGTGAAGTCAAGCAATTCGGCCTAGGGATATGCGACTGTCATGTCATATCAAGCGCCAATGCGTATCATATATATATATATATTATAATATCCCCCTCTAGATATCCCTTATGAAAGGGCCCACACCGGGGTCCGCAAATTACAAAATGGCAAGACACAAAATTACCTACCACCAATCAACCCGTCATTTTATAAACCAGAATATTTTTTAGGGGCTATAAAATGACTAACATGGGAACTTGCCCAACACAAAGGTCGGTGCAGGATTCAACATATAAAAAAATGATAGGGAGAGAGAGAGAGATATATATATATAAATATATATATATATATATTTGCGTTATACTATATTTTTACTTACTTTGCAATATAAACAATTTCTTTTGACAATTACCGTTTTTACCAGCAAAAACTGAGAAACACATACCCGCAGAAATTGGGTTTGGACAGTTGTTGTTCTTTTAATGCCCTGAGTTTCCTTATTAAATGAATATTTTCTCTGGTGACACCACAATTGGGACAATTTTCCACCTATCTAACCCCCGCCTTATAAAATGATGCGACGCCCATTGTCCTTTCGCACATTTGGAAAGGTAAGACGCTATAAGATTTGTTTGCTTTATTTCTGACCTGGAATTGTCATTTTAATATTTAATTTTATGCCAATTGATGCTGCCATATATTGTTTGCATCGTTGAATGCCATTTTTATAAGTGTTTTTCACCTGGTTTGTCATTTTTATAGCCAAAAAACACGTCCCTCTGATAAAATGAGCGGACCCCGGGGTCCGGCACTAATCTAGAGGGGGATTATACAATATATTAATTATATATATATATTATAAATATGGTTTGGATAGATGGGTGTGTTGGTATAAAGCTATTGTTAAAGGCAACTATTTGGACCGGAACATCAGAGTGGAAAGGAATCAATCCAAGGTTGATTGCAATCTTCCTCATGAATTGGATGGCCATTTGGAGGCTATAGATGGCTTTTTTGGTACTCGTAAGTGGTGAAAGGTTATATAAGACCACCTTATTCAATCTTATTCAGGTTCGGGCGAGCGAATCCCAAAAGGAAGCATAGTCGGAGTTTTGTGGGGGGAAAGCGTTTGATGGATTCAGTGACCATACCCATTCGGAAAGGAAACTTCCTACAAGGTGGTGCCCCTTCAGTTTTAAGCTGGTTTATGGTCCCCATGAGCTCTAGATATATCTGTCAGTCCTGTATAGTTAACCTACAATCTTATAAACCAATTAGCGAACTATGGGCCATGGGGCACTACCGTACCTTGTACCCCCTTGAAATGGAGGTTTTTCATGGGAAATCAACGATAGATGGTGCATTTTCGGTTGCCATGTTGAATTCCATTGAATTCCCATCAGGTTGCTGGGCCGATTCTTGGACCAACACCGAGAACGAGAGCAGCAGGACTTTGAGGAGAAGGCGGGCCATCGGTTTCTCGAAAATCTGGAGGGACATCTCCTGGATTTTGAAGGAAAGACCTACAGAAAAGCCCTTACAATTGATGGAGTGTGAAAAAAAAAACCAGGGTTTCCTGCAAAAAGTACGTGAACCAACCCATGAAGAGGGCTACAGTATGGAGAGAGAGAAGCCTTTGAGAGTCCAAAAGGTGTGACCTAAGCGACGTTTGCTAAGTTGAGAGCTGAGGTTGAGGTCGACAAGGGAATCTTGAGAAGACGCCTAGTCCGACGCATAGGCCCAACTCCTTAGTATCAAATGATTGTATTTTTTACTTTACATAATTTAATTTTGGCTCCAATTGTGTATTGCATTTGCATGTCCGGTTACACGTTGGGGCTACCTAGGATATGCAATACATATGTTTTTTTGGGCAATCCCATCTTATATAAATACGTTGATGAGCAGGTGAAGAAGAATTACCTGAACATGGCCAGAGACATTCAGCTACGAATCTCTGTCTGATCGGCAGATTGAAGTCACATGGGGTTCCATCAGACGTTTGCAGACCAAAATGGGTGCCACAACCTGGCAAGTGAATCGATTTTTTGAACATCCTTGTTCGAAGACTATCCTCGTTGAAAGTAATATTGAAGGTTTTCCGCTGCTTTGGACTAGCAGACGGTGCCAAGCACGGATCCGGGGAACCAACTTGACGATGGGATCAGTCTTCTGATTTTACGGAGAAAATGATGGGTGCTAGTGAATTTGGCGTATGGACCGATGGGAAAAATATGTGGAACTCTCGGAATCAAGCAGGTCTTAATGGGAGGATCATCTATCAATGGATCTCCATGGTGAATTCTCCGGAAAACCATGTTGCAAAACACCATCTATTCAACCTTGAGCTCAGCGGCTTGAAGCTGATGAGCAAAACAATGACGTCAAATCAGTCAGTCACATGAGCACAAGATGGGGATAGAAGCAACATGAAGCAACAAATGGATCGAAACAAAACAGGTTGCAAATCACTTGGAAATCTTAGAACTATGTCTCCAAGAAGAATCGTAAAACATCCTTTCACATGTCAAAAGAGTCCCCCAGAGTCACCAAGGAAAAGAGGCTCCCTACGACCTCATCACACATGAAAGGCTGATGATTTTGGGTGGTGGGGATGGGTGGGGTAGACTGCCGTGCCCAAAGATGATTCTGATATGCCCATGATATTCCCATGATTTTGGAATAATCAGCATGTTCACCCAAAAAACAAAGACTTTGGTTATCATTGGGCCATCAAAAATGGGGCAGGGCCCAGCCACAGCGCGGAGATTATGAACAAGAGACTTCCAACCTGGACTACAACGGCTGCAGGATTGGTAGCAACCACGTATGTGAATATGGATGTATGATTATCCCTCTGTATCCATAAATCCAGAGATAAATCGCACAACATCTCATCAAATCCCCATAAAAACTAAAATCACCATATCATCATCCTAAAATCACAAAAATGTCTTATTCAAACCACACTTTCAATCCAGCCTTTCCCCATGGCACCTGGCGCAGGAAGTTTGAGGCTTTGGTCCCTGAAGCGCTGGACCCAGCGAAGCCCAAGGACTTGAAATGTCCCGTTCCGGACGCTCGGAACTGGGGAGACCGGGGAGACCCGGGGAGACCGAGACCTGGGGGAAGGTCTCCAGCGCCCCAAGTGATTTTCAAATATGCCAAGGGATGTTTATAAGGATGTTTAGGGGCTTGATGGAGGTTGATGGAGGTTGATGGAGGTTGATGGAGGTTGATGGAGGTTGATGGAGGTTGATGATGATGATGATGATGATGATGATGTTTATTAATTATTGCTGTATTGTTACTGCTGTTTTCACGAAGAAACAGTTTAAGTAGCGATAATCATACTAACAGTGAAAATAGAGTGAAGTTATATATGACTATTATAATTATATATTGTGTTTTTGGCGATGTTGGAGTTATGAATACGGATCAGTGGGATCCGTATCACGAAGCGCGGGTCGTCCCCGGTCGGTTCGATGGGCTGCCAGAAGATGTTGCCCATCTCCCTTTCAACATCCCCAAAGTTGGATGGGTAGTTTAATCCTTTACTGTAGTTGTTTGCTATAGAAGGAACATGACCATAACCAGCAAAAGGTGAATTTCTGGTGGACTATGATTGATTGACCATGTCAATTTGTGCAAGTTGGGGGGCCAAACCCCAAAGCCTAATTTAATCTCAATTGTAGATGCATTCACCATATTTCACCATCCATATCCCCAACAGTTTGCTTACCCTCATCTTCCAGCTGTCTGGAAAGTAACCAACCCCAAAATCATTTCTGGTTCATCACTTTGGCTGCCCTTTCAAAGAGGTAGCTGGAAGGTTGGTAGGCTAGAACCCCTGGGAACCATGGCTACCTCTTTGTTGGTTTCCCACCTTTGTAGGTGCCTTCTTTTCACCGAGGACACCGGGGTGGATTACAACATCATCTCCAACCTGCGCTTCGACGCGCACCACTGGGCCCATCCACAGAAACGGCCGGGCGCTGTTTTTTCTTTTTTTGACCGCCGTTGACGGCCGGACCCCCTAATAAAATGGAAAATTCATGGAATTTGTTTTACATCATCCAACTCCAGTCCATGTAAAATCCTCGAAACATGTGGGAATTGGATTTGGAATTGGAGGAACATGACTGATGGGACATCCTGGGACCATAGGCATCCCGGATCTGTTTGGGACTCTTCCTGCAGGCCGATCCCAAAAGATCGGGTGCCCAAAGCGCGGATGGTTCCAGCCTTGCTCCATAAGGCCGGGGAGAAATGGACGGTGGAAACGAACTAATCATCCTGCAGTAGACAGAGAATTTCTGGTTGGTGGTTTGGAACATTAATTTTATTTTTCCATATATTGTGAATTTCATCATCCCAACTGACGAACTCATATTTTTCAGAGGGGTAGGGCTCAACCATCAATCAGGAGAATTTGATTATGGACATTTCACACAAAAACAAACAGGCAAAACATGGGACAGTAGATACAATGGACATTTCCAAACAACAACCCACGAAATATGGGAACCATATGGCAAACTCCTATATGCAATCTCCTCCAGAATGGCTACAATGATATGCAAGGCTTAAAACATTATTTTTTGCACGGCAAAAACAACGGAATATGGACCGACAACTGGGTCACAATTGTATAGAAAACCATGCCATCCACCAAGTTTAAGATGGATTTGACTCCAGCCCTGTGAGGATTTTAACATTTTGACCAACCGCTACCTCGAACACCACGAGGCAACGTGCCGTGATGAGGCAGAATTTCTGCTACCCACAACTCTTTGGAAATACCTAGCAGCAGTTACAAGTTTAAAAAGTTATATGATATGGGCAGGACGAATATGTTGGTCGCTTTCAAGTGCCTTTGTGAGTAACGTACCAAAAAGTTTGCTTGAATTGGCTTCACCTTGCTTGAATCTGGCAAGAGGGTCCAAATGGCTATCCTGACCTTGCCGCCCTTGTTGATGGCCTCCGTTCGGAAAGATGGCTGGAAGCTTTTGAGTGTTAGTCTTGTAAGTTGCCAATTGCATCCAACTGAAGCAAATACCAGGAAACCATGTGTCTTGTGAATTGCCATCAAACAACAATCGGTTTCTCAGTATTGGAACTGAAATTTGACAATGTTTTTTCCAAAATAAATCGTTTTCATGTGTATTAGACTCTGTATTAGACAGCTGATAACTAACATGATTTTTGAATAACCAACTGATTATTATTGTGTCGGACAACTGATATTTGAAGATAATGTTGGTTATCCAGATATAGATTATCCAGATATTATCCAACAAGATAATCCAGATATTTTTGAAAACCGTCTCCTAAAGATCCGCCAGGAGAAGGTCGAGCGGGATCGCGAGCTGAACCTTCTGGAAGCTGTCAGCCGTCCAAGCGGGGGTTGGACCAGGTTTGGACCCGGTTTGGTGGGAAAAAAAGGTGCTTTTCCATCCAAACATAGGGGGGTTCACAATACAGAGATATGGGGAGATTGGTGATATTGAATGGTAGATCTTAGAGTTAGACTTGAGATTTTTGTGGGTAAGATATATATATATATAGATATATGCTCCCACTGCTGCTTTCAAGTGCAGACAGAGACTTACGGGGGTTTCGAATGGGATATGCAATCGACAATATGGGATGGGTGCGATTGAACATGGGCTATATCACCAAATTGTAACTTTAAAAGGGATGATTCGATAAGGTTTATGCTTGAATTAAGCATGCAGTTAATTTTGGGGCTCCCCATTTTCAGACATCGAAATCGTTCTTTTCCTCCCTGCAATTTGGGATGATGTTCCAAGTGAACCAACCATATTTAGAGATAGGACGACGCCACCAAGCACTTCTGATCTATCATTGGTAAAGTATCATGGCCTCGGTGGTTGCATTGACCAAGCCCCTGCAGTTGTGTGTATAGTAATGTGGGAAACCAAAACTAAACCTAGAAACCCACTGCCATAAACAACTGCCATTTGGGGATGGTTTACAGTTTCCATTTCTGGCGATTGTGGGGATGGTTCATTATATAGTGGGTTTACCCTATTATGTTTGATATATATATATATATATATGTATGCAGCCCAATACTTGATCCTGTGATGCTGATCAGCTTTGGCGTAGATGGAATGTCCAATCTAGAGATTTCTAGGTCCTAAGGTCCTAGATCGCCTACTGGGTAGATCAGTAGGATTTTCAAAAAATGCAGCTCACGTGCTGCAACGGCTGGCCACCAGAGAGTCGGGGACCGTCATGCCATGTTTGACCGTCTCTGAGGCGGAAAAGATGCGCCAGCAACCCTTCAATCCGCTGTCGCAAAAGTTCTGTGCCAGTCCAAGCTGCATTGCCCATGTCAAGGGACTCCATTGAGGGAATGTTGTTCAAAGTATTTCAAAGTTGCGCAAACATGTTACTTTCGAATTGGGTTATAGCATGAGTTTAGTTTCTGGCCTTCTATTGATCAAACTTTGTCTATAGGATATCACAGCTAAATATTAAAGAATATTAATAGATCAATGAATAATTTTATAGTTGAGTGCTTTTTGATGACCTGTTTTTGATGAATGGCTATGCTTAAAACACGTGTCTTCGGGGTGGATTTTTCAACAAGAGAATGTGGGGGCGACAATAAGGAATTGTTGGAAATCCCAGCGCTGGTTGTACCCTATTTTTTGAGGCATACTTGGAGGTTTAGGCTCAATAAATACCATTTGGTTATTTAACATAGCCGCTGCCATGGAAAATCACCATTTTTAATAGGTAAACCATCTAGAAATGGGCCATTGTCCATGGCTATGTTAAATAACCAGAGGGTAAATTGTTCTGCATGGCCTTAGTTTTACAGGAACCATAGCTTCAACATGCTTCAACCATCAACTAAATCACTTAAGACTTAAGTGTTTCCCCGAAACCAATTGATACTCGAATTTATTGTGCCCCCATTGCGTCCCATAAAATCTACCATTTTTAGGGTTGCTTCCCAATAGAATCCCCATGTTTGGCATAAAACCCATTGAAATCATGTGAAGCAGCCCTATTGCTCATGCTTAACCACCAGAAATCACCATAATTCGCTAGAAATGAATCATATATCATATATCAATAGTTAGCCTACACTCCTAGAAAAAAGATCATTCAAATTTAAATTTAAAATCACCCCCTTGTACTGCTATTAAATATCATTAAAATCCATGGAATCCGCCATGAAATTTTCCATGGAAGCCTGCAAGGTGATGCGCGGCTCGAAGAACGAATGAGAGCTTGCGGATGCCTTACCGGGGGGACCGGTTGGAAAATATTGGGTTGGAAAATATGGACGGAATCCATGGTTTATATATGATATAAATCCATATTGAAAACATGGAATAACCATGTATGTTCCAACCATTGCTATCAATCCATATGTTCAATCAAATTATGTATGGAAAACCAATGATGTTGAGATTTATGTTTAAAATTGATGGAAATTGAACATATGGAAATGGTGTATATTTATCAATATCATAAAAGATGGCTTGAATATATAGATTTATCCCATGGAAATGTCGGACATGGTGTTTTTTCCCCATGGTCCATGGAAATGGACATGGATATAAAAACAGCCGAAGATATGGAAATGGTGTATTAGTTAATATCCCATGATCCAGGAGGACATTTCGGAAATTGAAATGGATACATCAAAAGATTGCCATGGAATCCATGATGGAATCCATGGATTGAAACGGAAACATGGATGAACTCCTTGGCTTTTCATGGGGATTGAAATATCCATGTTCCATGGCTATCCACCATGGATTGAACATCTGGAGTTCTCCAAGACAGTCATTGTCCAGGTCAAGATGCCCTCACCACTGAAGTGAAGCTTCGAAACGAGGAGGCCCAGTGGGGTCTTTTCGGTGGAGGTTTCTCAAGTCAGGGGGGGTCCACAAGTCACCCTGGTTGTTTCAAGACTAAAATGATCATCCATGGGTGACGACTGGATGATTTGGGGTGCCCCCACTGAATCAGGTATCCCAGATCCTTCGTTTTGGGTCAGAGCCAAGTACCTCCAAGAATCTGTGGCTTCTTTCCCGGCACAAAACCAGCTGCCCGGTTTATCATTTCTTCCTAAAACAGGGCCCATTGGAGGGATGCAGATCCCACTAGGCGCAGCCCTTGTCCTACCGTGGCAACATCACCAATTGCTATGTGGGGTGCCTCAGGGAGCGATGCATGTGAATTTCAACATGTTTTTAATAACATATTGTTGATATAAACACCTGTTTTCTGATTTTTCTGGAGAACATTCAAAAATAACTTGTATCTGGAATGTAAGACTGGATCCAATGATGTTCTGAGATGTTCTGTAAGCCCCTGCCACTGTTTTCGAGTGTTTTCTTCCAAGATTCCACTGCAAGACCGCCCAAACTTCCTTCCACACGTGTCCGTGGACTTAGGACATGCTGAGTCACCAGGTCGGCGGGGCGGAAACTGTGGCTTTTAGGGTCGCAAATTGGTGGGGGGTTCAGCCATAAAATATATCTGGCATCTTGGCTAAACCATAAAATATGGTACTGTAATTCAGTGGGTAAAACAATGTCGTAAACCAGCCATGACTGGGAATGGTAAGTTTATACCACCAACCAAAAGACGGTGGTTGAAACCATTGTTTTATCCACATTTCTCCATGGACATTCGTTGGGGATCATTCTTGGGGTTCCAGAAATTTGTATTCCGTTGTTGTCACTAAGCCCTCACCATACATTAAGGCCAAAAAGTCAATAAGGGTGCGGTAACCAGTCCAACATAAGCCCTTGTAAGATAGGTGGTTTTTGAGAACTTACCCAGATCGGTTGAAATTTGAGGATATTTTTTGTCTTCCGGCAATAAAAGCTGCAACCAATATCAAAACTGGTAGTTTCGATGTTTGGTTCTTTTCGGGCGCTTTGAAAACCACCAACTGGATACACACTACGGGGTATATTGTATTGTTTGATTTGGTGGGGCAACACCCAAAGTGCAATTTCAATGCATTATCTTGGGGTTGAACATGCCTCAAGGAAGAAAGTCATCGGCAGCGAAGAATTGTCAGTTTTCCGGTCTAATCATGTGTGTACCGTCTGGTAAACTAACATAGCTTTATGGCAGCTATGGAAAATAACATAAAATAACGATGTTTACCAGGTAAACTACCTATTTCTATGGCCGTTTTCAATAGCTACATTAATATCACTAGAGGGTATGTGTTCTTTCCAGTGCTGTGTTTGATTGGTAGATGCGATCTCCAGCATGGTGATTCAATGCCAAATCGATTGACCAAGGGATGCAACGATGCACCACTAGCAGCTATACAACATCTTACAACTTCCGGAAAGTGTCTAAATCATGATTATACTGATTAGACAGCATGTTAATGCATGTTACATTTATATATAATTTTATATACATTTATACCAATCCATATTATTGCCGTATAGGTAAATCGAAGTCCCAATTCAGTGGTAGTTCAGGCGTGATTACAGACCTGCATCCTGGAGGTGAAGGATCCAGAACTCATGGATTACATCAAGCAGTCTGAAGGGGGACGCAAGGCACCGAGACCGGAGCCAATGCAATAACTTGGTCCCATTGAATAGCTTGGGAAGGGACATGTAAAATATGTTATAATAGGGAATCTTGATAGTTATAAGATGTTAACAATGATGTTACATGGTTGTTTCAGGGAACATCATTATGAGGTGCCAACCATTTCTGGGGCGCCTCCTTTGGATTTTGTTCGATTCTGTTGAATGAAAAAGGTACGGTGGTTGAGGTTTTGTAGGCATCCTCCTGCTTTTCGTTGGTAACATGTAACAGCCATGATCAGCCATGGTTTCCAGTTCGAATTTTTCCAAATTGACGCTGTAGCGCATCAGGTGCGCTACAAGACCCGCTTCAGATTCGAGGCACATCCTGGATGTGATTAAACCGCAGTGCGGTTTCGGCGATTTCAGTGGGACTTTCGTTTTCGGAGAGTTAGAACACATGCATAGGCTGCACAAGTAGATTAGACTGTATAATATAGGTATAATATAGGTTAGATATGGTTAGATATGGTTCGATTAGAGAATTAATCGGATGGATTGGAATAGATTAGATGAGGTCTAATGAGACAGGGATACACATGCTAATCAGTCTATAGATACCACTATATTATACTATATTAATTATATTATCTATTATAAAAACTACTACTATATATATATATATATCACATGCACACATATATTATGGTATGTTTGCCATGTTTTCTTTGCAAATATATATATATATATGTTATATATATATGTTTAATGTTCACCCCAATGTGTAGGTCTGCCCGTTTCTGCTGAGGAGGATGTGCGCCATGCTGACGTGAAGCAGGAGGATCGTGTGAAGCGAATGAAGCCTTTGCAGGTCATGGCGCGGCGGGCGGATCTGTAGAATCTCCTTGAGAGATCCAGCTGACTCTGGGCATGGGCCAAGCTCCGGATGCTGGGCACGCACCCGAACACATGTCAGAAAGAATGCCATACGGAATGTCAGAATGTATGTTTAGAAGGCACTTGCGGCCACACACTGGAGATCACTGGAGTATATGAACATATTCATTTTGTCGTTTGGATTGCTGTTTTTTTGTCATTGGATTCTGTCGTTTTTTGATCCTGTCATTTGTCCCTGTCATTTGTTTGTATTTGTTTTTGTCATTTTTGTAATTTTTCATTGGTTCCCTTCATGTTTTGATGATTTTACAATGTTTTTGTTAAGTTTCAATTGTTTTCTGTGATTTTCTCCAATTTTCCATTGGTTTTCTTCACTTTTCATTGGTTTCCTTAGCTTGTTCAATGGTTTTCTTTCATTTTCTTGAATTGTTCAATTGTTTTCTTGATTTTTCATTGGGCTTCCACAAAATTGTCAATGGATTTGTTGATGCCATGCTAGAAAATCAAAGATATTAATTTTAGACAAATCGATGAACATGATAAGACAATGACAGAAAAATGACGGAAAAATGACATAAAAATAGCAAACACCCAATGTTGTTTGTTTTTTCAAATTTCATTTTCCTGAGGTTTCATGATATTCTATATTGGTTTTGTCATTTTTTTTGTCAATTTTTGTAATTTTTCATTGATTGCCTTCATGTTTTGATGATTTTACTATGTTTTTGTTACGTTTCAAATTGTTTTCTTCGATTTTCTATTTGTTTTCTTTGGTTTTCTTCACTTTTTAATTTGTTTTCTTTGATTCTCTTCAATTTTTGATTTTTTTCTTGATTCTTTCATTGGGCTTCTGCATTTTTTCAATTGAATTGTTGGTGCCATGCTAGAAAACCAAAGAACATTTAGAAAAAACAATGAACATGATAAGAAAATGACAGAAAAATGACAGAACAATTGCAGGAAAATAGCAAAAACCCAATGTGTTTTTAACAAATGTCATTTTCCTGGTGTTTCATGGTATTCTGTCATTTGTTTTGTCATTTTTCATTGATGTCCTTCATGTTTTGATGATTTTACTATGTTTTTGTTATGTTTCAATTGTTTTCTGTGATTTTCTCCAATTTTCCATTGGTTTTCTTCACTTTTCATTGATTTGCTTCATTTTTTAATTTGCGTTCTTTGATTCTTTTCAATTTTTGATTTGTTGTCTTTCTTTTCAGTGGAATTCTGCAATGTTTCAATGAATTTGTTGATCTCATGCTAGAAATTAAAGATTTCAAAAAAAAAAACAAGGAAAATGACAGAAACACGGTGGAACAAATGGCAGAAAAATGACAGAACAATGACAGATAGAATTTAAGAATGACAAAAAAATGACAAGGCCAAAATAACACAAAAATGGCAGACAAAAATCTCAGCCTGTGGCTGACCAAGTTCTTCCTAAATGTATGTCAGAATATATGTCAGAAAGAATGCTAGAACCAGAATATATGTCAGAAAGAATGCCAAGTGGAATGTCAAAATGCATGTCAGAAATAATGCCAGATGGAATGTCAGAATGCGTGTCAGAAAGAATGCTAGAATCAGAATATATAGGTCAGAAATAATGCCAGATGGATTGTCAGAATGCATGTCAGAAAGAATGCCAGATGGAATGTCAGAATGCATGTCAGAAAGAATGCTAGAACCAGAATATATGTTAGAAAGAATGCCAAGTGGAATGTCAGAATGCATGCCAGAAAGAATGCCAGATGGACTGTCAGAATGCATGTCAGAAAGAATGCTAGAATCAGAATATAGGTCAGAAATAATGCCAGATGGACTGTCAGAATGCATGTCAGAAAGAATGCTAGAATCAGAATGTAGGTCAGAAAGAACCAGATGGACTGTCAGAATGCATGTCAGAAAGAATGCCAGAATCAGAATATAGGTCAGAAATAATGCCAGATGGACTGTCAGAATGCATGTCAGAAAGAATGCTAGAATCAGAATGTAGGTCAGAAAGAACCAGATGGACTGTCAGAATGCATGTCAGAAAGAATGCCAGATGGAATGTCAGAATGTTGCCATTGTCAAGTGCAGGTATGGCTGACTAAAACGGAGATGATCCCAAATCACGCACAGAACCGGCATCAACATGATGTATGTGTATATATATATCTATATATTTATATATGTACACTGTATATAGAGGTGATGCATAAGATAGGGTGGCAATGGAAAAACTTGTCGGATTAAAAACTTATGTATATATAATATGTATATATATATATACACTCCCCTGTAAACTGACCTAGCCGTGGAGTTTCTCCCACCATGAATCTCCCGCAGATCGCCCACGAACGCTTCACCACTGAGATGGAACGCGGCTATGTGGGGTGGCCCAGTTCGTCGGATGTATGGAATTGACCATCATAAATGATGACAGGTACCCTTCATCATTTATGCTGGTCAATTCCCTACATCCAACCAAAATTTGGAATTTACCTGGACCAAAATTAAGTAGATATTGAATGTACCTATGAATGTAGGAACTAGCAATTATTATGATTCATTTTGGGAGTTTTCCCAATTCAAAAAATATTTCAATGTTCCCGCTGTACTGTACCTGAACCAAAATAGAAAAAAAACAAAATCATTGAATTGGGCGAAGAAGGGTTGAAACTGGAAACCTATGAAAGTATATGCTGGGAAAAAAATGCATGGTTTCCGATTATAATGTTTCCTTGAAGAAATCCATCGAACTACAGGACCCCCTTCCCAAACAATTGACTATTCTTGCAACTCAGATTCCAAAATCCTGGACCAGAAGAGTTGAATGGAATCCAGATATTTCGTTGTGGAACCTGGCTCCTCCATTTTCGGTTTCGCTACGGGTCAAAATTTATCGCTTGGCAGGAACCCAGATTTTTTTTTCCATTTTTGCTGGTACGGTTGGAACCATCCAGCCGGTTCACTGTTACCAGCTGGAAAGTCGCACCAGAAGCAACCCATTTTTCAATCAAATTTCGTCACAGTATAAATATGAACTTCTGATTTTGTTCTTTGCGAGGGCTTCAGAAAAAAATCACGTACCACATCGTATCACAAGCAAACGACTCTCGTAGGAAAAACATAATTCAAATCTTCTGAACTGGATGGGGTTTTCCATGAACAGTAATAAACATTTCGGCCACGAACACGGCCCTGCGCCAGAAAGCTGCCCGGCTCAGGATATCCTCACGCGACCTGACCGAAAGTGCTGAGAAAATCACCTTTTTGGGTTGCTGAGTTTGATGGGGATTTAGCCAGCATAAACAGGGATTTTTCACCAACCAACATAGATGGCTAACCCGAAAAAACGGGGACCTAAGCAGGAAAAATGGTGACTTAACTAGAAAAAATGGGGATGATCACTATTTTGGAGCAACCCTTTGATGTTTTATCAACTGGACTTGTCAAATATTATTCTGGGATGGATGTGAGACATGTTCAAAAAGAAGAGGAGGAAAAGAGTAAGGTTTGAGTTCTATGGTTGTTTGAAGCAGAGTACATTGCTTCTGGCACGAGCCGGATTTGAATAACCCACAATCAAATCGGCCGCCAAATAATCACAATCAATTCTTAGCTAGCTCCAGAGCATCCTAGAAACACGCAAATTTATAACCTGTAACATCCGTAAGCCTAATGGCAATTGGGCAGCCAGGCCCATCATTGTACTCCCGGGCTGGGGGCAGCATCCTGCGACTGAGGAATCAGGACTTTGGGTGTGCCTGGCTTGTTGCAGCTACAGCCGTATTGACTTCAATGATCCCCGAGGTTGCCGCCAACGCCGTGTAGAATCTATTAGAATCTATGTCATAGCACCCCCATAATTTGATCGAGAAAAATCCCAAAATATTGTTTTCCAGGATGATATGGACGATATTTCCCCTGCATTTTTCAGGTGCTCATGTTTTTTCATTTTGTTTGGGGGCTACGATAGAGTGATGCATGCAGGCTTCAAGTCCCATTTATGAATCTCTTCCTGACCTCAGTTGGTCATGATATGTCATGATGACATGTCAAACAAGCCTGTTATGACCACATGGTCTTCATTTGCTTCCAGATGGGAGCGTCACTTCTATGAGTCCAACTTCTACCTCTCAACTGTCTCCAGTCTCTTCTTATTCTTTTTTTACATTGTTTCGTGGATTGGAAGGCTGACGGGGGTGGTCCAACCCCCAAAGCACCATGGTAAAATGCACCAATGTACCGATGACCTAGACGCCTATGGCACGGATCGATGGTCCATTCAGCATTTTGGGGAGGTATACCGCGGTATACCCTTTGGCAATCAAACCTGGCCAATGGAAATCCTCAATTCATGTAGGTTTTTTGCAGGAAAAGCAGAGCATCCATAAATATCCATAAATAAATAATAAATGAGCAATGTTCCATTGCCATGTTTGGTTACGGCAGGGTAGATTCGATCCTCGACTTGGTTTAAAGAACATTTTGCAGAACCGCCTCCAACAACGGCTTCCTAAACACCAAGCCCTTGATATTCCCACTAAGTCTTATTGTTGTTTAGTTTAATTCCTCATTTTATCACAGTAATTACATCCTTACATCCATTCATACCCATTTATACTGAACCTCATTATATAGATCCCAAGACATATCGAAATTCCCTTTACTTGAAAAACATATATGTTATAGTTATGGTTCCCCCATGACCTCCCATGGGAGTCTAAGCCGACATCAGGCATCGCAAGGAGAAACACGAAAAGTTTCTCCACACGCCACGAACAAAGCCGTTGCTAACGCCCTGGCAGAAGGTCCCGGCCCTGTGGCCATGGGGGATTTTCCCAGGAACCACAATGGTTGTAGATGAATTGGGGGGGTTCTTAAGTCATGTGGGATCCCCGAAACCATGCTTGTTTCAATACCAAAAAGGTCTACCTTTAGATGATTTAGGGGCATATGACTTAGGAAACCTCCAATTGAATGGAACCAATTAGAGATGGGCGCACACCATTGGAAAAGGGCATCAAATCTATTGTTTATGCACATTATTTGCAGGGTTCCAATGGTTCCAAGTCACCTGAGCATTTGCGGGTGTGTGTCCATCTCCGGTATGTTTTAGACAGACAGATAGCGTTGAGGAGGAAGGAGATTTGAGCTCCAATTTCTGGTAGCTTTTAGTAATTGCATAATTTAAACACATAATTAGTTCTCTAGCTGATGGTGCTGGAGAGAGAGCGAGAGATATACACACATATATGTAGATTTACACATACACATATTTGTATACATATATGATTCTATGATCATATATATATATATATGTATATGTATACATATGCAAACGTAATCATACATACATATATACATACATACATATATATATATACATATATATACATGTATACATTGCAAATGTGCAGTGCATACATGTTTGACACATGTGAAATGTATCGCCAGGTCTTAGAGCAGACCGGCCCGGCAGCCAAACATGGCAGATGGCAGATGGTTGACAGTGCAATGAAACATTCAATGAAATACAAGAAAAAGGTAGAAATGGCAGACGGTTGCGGATTTGGCAAGACATGAGTTGGCCTTTTGAACCAAGACAATGGGTGAGCATAGGAGAATCAATGCAAACCCATTTGCAGGCAAATCATATTGATAGTGTAAACGATTGAAGCAAGCGATAGTCCAAAACTTGGCTGAATCAAAAAACTGACTAAAACCAACATGTAAAGTTATGATCATTTATTATTAGTTATAACTGGTTATAAAAGGGATTATACATTCCATAAATTGGGTTACAAGCACTTTTAACTGGTAAAGGGCCATAACTGTAGGGTGGAGAGTTGGGTGATGTTGACATTGATACGGGCCATCACTCAGCCAAGCGGAGATCCACGAGACACTTGCTAAGCCTGAAATCAACAAGTCGTCACCTAAATCACCTTTCCGTGACGTAAAAATATGCCCCGAGCACAATTTTGCAAATCGAGCGCTTTTGCTTACAACAGCGCATTTAAAGAACTCTTCAGCCTGCTGCCTACTTTTATTTGAGCCGTGGCTACTTGTCATTCAATGTGTGCAATTCTCCAGGGATGAACATTTTTTGCAAGACCCACACGCTCAAAAAGGTCACGCAAAAAATGTGCAAAACGGGCGCAAATCGGCGCAAAAAAGTGCAAACGGGCGCAAATCCCAAAAACGTTACCTCTAAACCCCAAAGGATTTCTCACGCATGTCTATTTGTGTTTGTCTGAACGCCCCGATACCATTTACAGAGAAAAGTACAAAACCACGGCTCGTAAAACCTGTGACGCGCAGATTTTTAAAAAACGAGCACTTTTTCCTTCACGAGCGTAAACGTGCGTTTTAGGGCAGAAACTCAACATCATGTAAATTTACGTTACTTTGGAGGTCCTAGGATTTATGACCATTTTATTGTTGTATTTTTGTCCGGGCTATTATACATACATACATACATTACATTGCATTGCATTGCATTACATTACATTGCATTACATTGCACTACATTACATTGCATTACATTACATTACATACATACACACACACATATACATACACACACATAAGTACACACACACATACACACATACATACATACATACATACATACATACATACATACAGACAGACAGACATACATACATAGATAGATACATATACATACATATACATACATATACATACATATACAAATACATACATATATACATATATACATACATACATACATACATACATACATACATACATTCATACATACATACATACATACATACATATATACATACAGATAGATAGATAGATAGATAGATACATACATACCATTACATTACATTACATTACATTACATACCATACCATACCATACCATACCATACCATACCATACCATACCATACATACATACATACATACATACATACATACATACATACATACATACATACATACATACATACATACACACATACACACACATACATATATATATATACACATATATATATATGTGTGTGTATATGGGAATCAAAGGGCCTGACCATTTCTAGTTGGTTTCTCCTGACCATTCAAGTATGACCCGGTTACTACTCTGAATCAGGCGGTCTTCTCAAATTTGTGGACCCCCTTGGGCCAAGACTTTTCTCGCAAAAATCAGAAGGCAAAATCATATGGAGCGTATAATGTGGGTAAAACAATAATAAACCACCAATTTGGGGATTGTTGAAATCCCACCTATTTATGGTGATGACTGGGGGATGGTTTATGGCATTGTGTTACCCACATGAACATGTTTTTTTTTGATGGAGATATCACGGGGATATAAGGACAGGGCTTGGTAAATGCGCCTATAATGTAAGGCTCACATGACCCAACTATTGAATTATTGGGTATATCTCGAGCCGAGCCTAGCTGATACCAACTTTCAGGTGATTTTTGAAGCAAATCCCCCAAAGATGGGGACAGGAGAGATTTGATCCTTACCATGGTTGAAGGATGTTGGTGGAAAAAAAACATGAATTTGCCAGGGCTACAGCTCAAATTTTTCAAAACCCCATTCCATGAGAGTTTTTTCTGGTGGACTCGCAATTTCTGGTGGAACCATTGCTACCCGGTTTAGCTCTTGATTTCTTATAGGCTTATAGGAATTCTTAGTGATACCTGTACCTAATCATGGGATGCACACTTTGAAGGGATTCCCTCATGAAGAAGGGCCCCAAAAAAACGTCTTGGCCCGGCCGGAGCACGCAATTTTTAGGCCCTACAGTTGTAGGCACTGGTGAGCGGGATAATCGGATATTGTGATCACTTGAGATCAATTTCAGCTGGTTTTTCGGGATTTTCCAAATGGTTCTTCAAATTTTCCAACGATCAGTCCTTACCGTTGTTGCTTCTAGCACTCACCGGTCCATTTACCGGGACAACAGAACAACTCCACCCACGCGCAGTACGTCCCATGGGGCGCTTCCAATGCGATAGCCCGCGCTGTGCGGAGTGCGGACGCAGCGAAGATGCAGATCTCACTTGCTCCAAGTGCAAATCCGTGGCTTGGAGAACCTAATGGTTTTAATGATGTAGTATTATAGGCTATATTAGGCTATTATCCTGTGAAAACAACCAGCTCGGGGCCCATTTTTATCATGTTTTCAGGCTCCAGCTTGAATGGCAATGTTAATTAGTGGGAAAGATACTGATAACCGAGTGGTTTTTTCATTGCACTTACATGCGTGGATGGTTCTTTCGGTTAATGCCAGAAAATGACCAAACAGGATGGGCCAATGAGACAACAAGGCTGACGACAGCATCTCCAGCATGTTGTTGAGAGAAAGCCCATGGTTGGTTGTGTTATTACGTTCTGGTGCTTAGTCCTATTGATTTGATGTAACTCCTCTCAGTGATGTGGCTGCACAGCACAGGTATCGGGTATAGCAACCGAGACACGGTACCAATGAACCCAGTACATAGTGGATGGAACAACATCCCAAGATTTTTTAGCCTATGATATCATGACATCCTATGACCAGCTGGATTGGTAGGGATTAAACTTCCCTCACATACACAATCTAGAAGTGGCTGGTTTCAAACATCGATTTTGAGCCAGGACGACATGACCCCCAAGTGCATGTTCAGTGGGATTGTGATTGGTTTGATTTTGGTTGGGTTTAATTTACCTCATCAGTCTCGTCACATTTTCCAACATTGTTTGAACTATAGGAATAGGGAAACACATATTACATATACTATTACTATACTATTACTATTACTATAGGGAAACACATATTATATATACAAGTTCGAACCCTGTACCAAGCTCCCATATCACCAGCCAACATCGTTTGTTGGGCTCGTTTTTTAGGTGGTGTACTGCAGCCGAAGCTGCCAACGAGCGCATTGGAAGAAACACAAGAAGGAGCCCGTTCAGAATGCAGTGCTGGTAGCTACTGTGGATGGAAGAAATCCTGCACCAATTGGTAACTATTGGGAACTATAATGCATTGTAAATAATGGGATTACAATGGGATAAACCATCTATTAACTGGTGCAGGATTTCCTCCATCCACAGTATCATTAGTCCCACCTATGCCCCACTTTGTTTTGTCGAACATGTTGGCACCCAAATTTCAATCCATCGCTTCGGATTTGTTTATTATCCGTAAGTCAGTACGATTTCAAGTGAGGATACTTGAGGATATTTTGGGGTTGCCCATGTGTTGCCCAACATTAAGGAGATTTGCAGCTAGGATGATCTATCCTTGTCCGCAAGTTCAGCTAGGATATGTTTTCATTGAGTGTTTGCTGATACGCATTGTTCATTAGTTGCACTCCAAGTTTGTTACCTCTTAGTGGCTTCTTCTTAGTCAACCCCTCATGATCGTTGATTTGCTGTCCTTGTCACTCTTACTTGGTCAACTGTTGATTGTTATTGATCTTGTCACCCCATGATTATTGATCATATTGATCAAGTCCCCACTGTTGGGATGAAACCTCAACGATTCTTGCTGGCGCAGGCGCAGGCTTGCTGTTTGGCACATGGTTGTGCCTATAAAATCCTATATATAAACTCATGATTTTTGCACCTCATCAAGGCACCATCACAGCCCATCCCGTCATATTTCTTGCTGCAGCCCTCACCTCGGAATCTTCACATGCACCTTCCATACTGCCAAACTTCCGTAACAAGGTGTGGGATTGAAGGCTTGTTTGGTTCTGCGTTTCAATCATCTCTTTTTCTCTGTTCTCCCCTCCTTCCTGGGATGATGAAAGATGATGGAACACAATTCACTGATATGCTTCAGATGGGTAGAAAACACGTAACACTACACATGGGAATGGGGTGGCCACACACGTATATATATATATATATATATGTATATATATATATATTATATATATACATATATATATATATATTTGGCGGATCTCTGGAAATTCGTCATCCCCTGAGGATTGCACTGAATTAGCCACCCAGTCGGACAGCATTCTGATAGAGGCAACACTGACGGTGGAACCTCAGCCCCTTGGCCAACAGAAAGTTGAGCACCAAGATGATAGCACCTGATTCTGGATGCCTTGTGTCAAATGATTTAGACATATGTAGACTAGAACGCCTGTTGTGCATTTGGGTGCTTTGAAGTACTTCAAAAACGCATGTTTGTTTTCCCAAATTTCCCTGACATTTCCCCATGCAATGATCTTCAAATCAAAGGAGTCCGAGTCTTGTCCACTTCCTATTAGATCATACCATCAAAATATAACAAAGAATATCAACGTTAGTCGCGCCAGTCGTCAAATTGCTTTCTCATTATCTTGCACTTAAAGTGAAAAATCATTCAGTTCTCTTTTCGCATTTCTTGATTTCTCATTCACTTTCAAGACCAAATGAAAAATCAAAATCATCAGGAATCATTATGACTCATCCACTTTTTAGACCAAATGTCATCAAAGTTCTCGAATTTCGCATTGCGACCGAACGCGCACGCTGAGGTTCCTCGAATGGCTCGATCTCTGGCTGCGGGCCCGCCCTGCGTTGCTGGATGGTGATGCGGGAGGCCCACCCGGAAGATCATGGGTGAATATCAATGGTTTGTATGTGCCTTACCCTCTGGTGAACTAACATAGCAATGGAAAATGGCTATTTATAGTAGATTTTCCCATGAAAAATGGTGATTTTCCATTGCTATGTTAGTTCACCAGAGGGTAACTATGGCTTAATCTATAGGGGTATGTTTTTTTTTAGGGCTAAACCTCCCAACATAGCCGAAATCATGATGGATTAGATGTAGCTTTTCATGAAAGATCATAAACAAACTAATACCCATAACAAGCAAAGCTGAAACATACCTGAGCATCGGCTGAGCATCGGCTTGTGTGTTTGTTAAGTTTAAGGGAAGTCTTTGGACTTAACACAATGTTCAATAAGAATCTATAAGAGACATGTTTCCGCTTGATTGAAGAAAAATACCCCCTGGTAAACTAACATAACTATGGAAAATCACCATTTTTAATGGGAAAATCCACTATAAATGGTCATTTTCAATAGCTATGTTAAATTACCAGAGGGTAAACCATATGAATCCCTAAATGCACAGGTTCAAGACTAAACCAAAGTTTGAGAGTGGTCGTTCGTTGTTGGAGAGGGTTTGCTAAGAGAAACTTTCCCCGAAAAATGTGCTTCTGGATGAAATCTTGACACAACACACAATTGTGCACTACTGTATTGTTATTTGTTCATTGAAATTAAACAATGAACCCAAATGTTTGAAGGTTTATGTAATAAGACCCCTCAGAGTTAAGACAAAGGTATGGTTTATTGCTATGTGTATCACATTAAGATCCATGACGGGAATTTGTGAAAATGCTCGAAACATCGCTGTAAGTGCTGTGTCCTGGAGTACGTGTTTCCTATCATTCGTACATCAATACAGGCAAATATATTTCGGATGAATCGTATTATCGATGGCCAATCATCATGTCCACCTGTTATATAGTCAATAATTGCTTGCCGCAATTAACTCAACCAAGGAACCCTTTCAGGATTTCACGCATGTTGCTTCTCTTCTTTGTTCAAAAACTGGGCAAACCCACGCTTGTAGACATGGTTATTCCCAATCTGCCTGGTTAAAAGCAATGATTTCCTTTAGGGTTTCACTTCAACCAATGTATTGATCATCAGACAATCAACGATGTTTCTGGTAAAATGTCAACAATTGCTGGCAAGCTCCTAATATTTTTTAATAAGTATATTATTTATACCTATAGATCATCCTAGATCCTCCAAGTACCCATGACACTGCCAAAAACTGAGAAAATACGTTGGTATATTAATTATAAATAAGTATATATATATATATATAAATATATATACAGGATGGGGCCCCCAAGATAGCTAAGTTGGTTTATAAGTGGCTTAACAATGGTTTATGGTAGATATAACATGATATAACTATTAACTATAGTTATTAATGGGGATTATAATGGTTTATAAACCAATTTATAACTGGGGGGGCCCATCCTATATATATATATATAGCCCAATTTTTGCGAGGTACTTGATGGTACTTGGAGGGGTTTTAAAGATCACCATGGGCTTTTGGCTGAACTGCACCCTGCCGCAGTTGTAGAAGTGGTGAGTTCCACCGCGCCTGTACGTCGGAAGTCCTTGGAATGCGCTGGCCGAGCGTTTCTGGAGGCGGGATGGGATGGGACGGGATGAAAGTTGGGATTTTTTGATGATTTTGTGACTTTCTTGGAGATACCCTCTGGTAAACTAACATAGCTATTGAAAATCACCATTTTTAATTGGAAAATCAACTATAAATGGCCATTTTCAATAGCTATGTTAAATTACCAGAGGGTATTACTGTGTGCTTCTTTTTTCTGTTCCATGTGTTTTTGGGGGGATGTTGTGCAAAAAAAGAAATCCTCTGTTAGAATGATTTGAAGCCCGAGCCAGGGAGAATTGGCCTGACTGGGAAGACCTGAAAACACTGATGCAGTCTATAGGAAACGCCCAAATCGACAGGATATTTTTATCCCTGGCCAAGGCCAGGGTGCCATTGAGGTGACCCTGCGGAATTCTGTGAAGCTGTGTCCAATATTTTCAGATGCCCCAAAGTCCCGAAGTCCAGTTGTTTCATTTCCAAGTTGTCTTTTTCCCCTATTGAAATGGTGATCAAATTTGGATATATCATGAAATGGAGGTTTCCTGAAAAGGGTGGTACCCCCATTTGGTTATATCAATTTTCATAGGATGTTAGAGTGGATTTTGAACTAAACCCAGCCATTGGGGTACCCCCATGACTATGGAAACCCCATATATTCAGGCTCACCGCTGTTTCTGTCAGGGCTATGAGCGCTGCATGGAGAGCTTTCGACCTGCTGACGCTCCGGAGGGCCCAGTGACCCTCAAGGAGGAGGCGCGACAAAAAACGTCGGGATTCACCTTATGGACCAGAAGTGGTTGGCAAGGGAGTATTACCCTTTGGTAAACTAACATAAATATGGAAAATCACCATTTATAGTGAAATTGTCCCATGAAAAATGGTGGTTTCCCATAGTTATGTTAGTTTACCAGAGGGTAACTATCAGTAAATATCTATACATAAAACCCGCTTTGCGTGCGCTTCTTCGACACGCGTGACCTCACAGAGATCCGATGAATGAGTATCCCCATAGTATCCATCTTGGAAAGCCCTATGTATCAAGGGGTTCGTTCTAAGAATGAATCCCCCACATCAAGACCTCCTATGTTTTTAATATAATATAATATATAATAATATAACAATTAATACACACATATATATATATTATATCTATTTATATTATACATATTTTTTAATCCAGCTTCGGAACTGGTCTCTTTGATAATCCTGCCGTTTCTTCATTTTGTATCTTGCTCTTGCCCTTCTTCTTTTATGCTCCTATGTTCCATCGCTACTAGAGAGTGTTCATTTCAGGGTTTTTTCAGGTACCTAATGATTTAAATAGGGGTACTGCGCCGTAAAATGTGGTACCTACTCAGTGCTTGTATCCGACTCAGGCACCGGATAATATTTTTTTGACAACCCCAAATTGACCCAAAGACTCTACACATGCAGCAAACATTGGATACATATCAATATATACATATATATATATATATATCATATGTACATTTCTGGATGATGGCTGGTTATTTTGTTTTAAGATGTTTGAATCATACAAAATTAATATGTGTCAAATGCATTATTTCAGAAATTTCATCAAACATTTGGATTGTACTACTATATAACCCCTAACCAAATTTTGAATAGTGAGCTCCAACAAACATAAGATTACAGGGTATGATGGGTATAGATGAAATAAAAGGTATGATATGGTATAATGATGTATAATGAATATGTGTTTTTTTCTTTTTCAAGGGGTAGCTATGTTCCCAGGCGGACAAAAAACCTCCCTCTCCCATGTCCGGTTCAGGTGCGGAGTGGCAGCCGCGTTAGCGTGCACAATAGGTCATGCCCACGGAGGACGAAGCCATATTTGCAGCGCTGTCAGGAACGTGCAGCACCTTGGATTAGATGGGGGCATGGTCATGGGGGTACCTTTATAGCTGGATGGTTTTGTTCAATTCATCTCTGGATGATATGGATGATATGGGGGTAGCCCTATTTCAGGAAACCTCCAGATAGCCACAAGAGGGGATGGAAGAGATCCTGTTCCCCTGTTAGTTTTTTCCCTTTATTGATAGGGTTTCAACCATTCTTTCGGTGGTGCAGGATTTCGCAACCATCCACAGTACTTATCAATTTACCAATCCTTGTACCTGGGTCCTTGGGAGCAACCATGCTTGGGATGAGTGCTTGATATGACGAGCATATTGGTGACACGGATTAATCCATGTTAAAACCACCAACCTGGACCAACCTGTTATCCTTGTGACGTCTTGTGACCAGCCTTTTATTAAAGCAGAGTATCTATAGGATTGATGTACCTTTTTAAAAAATCGGGATCTAGCTGTTGAAAAACATTGGATTCTTGTCAGGTTTAAGCAATTGATTCAGCTATTTAATCATCCAAATGCATGTTGATTTAATGTCATGTAAGCATGAAACATTCCACTCCTCTATATCAAGTTCACAAGTTTCAGAAATGTGTTTGTTTTTTCTGCCAAAAACTGGGGTTGAACATGATGGAACCCGGAAATGAGGATTGAAACATAAAATGATCCTGGGTTCATACTTCAACCATCTTCAACCAATGTGGATGTTTGATGATGTTTGCATGATTCTTGTGTATGTGTGTGTTCCAGCATGTTTTTTAGCCATACAAACAGAATAGGCTTGGATGTAAGCACCAACCATTGGGATCTAGGTTTTTAATCCCGATTCTCAAAAGTAGGATTTTCATGGATTTTCAGTACAGGAAAATGTGTTCCATGTGTTTGGTGATATGCAACAACTTCAAGTTTCCGTCAACACTTGATTGAAATTAATGAGTTGGAACCACCCAAGACGCAGGGGACTGCCATGATGAGCTCGCGAAGTGCCAAGGAAAGACGTTCCAAGTTGCAACCAGGAAAGGAGTTGAGCAGAAGATTGCGAGGCGAGTAATCTGCAGTTTCTTTTTGGAATTATATATTTGGATGTTTTGTGATTTCAATTTCATATGTTTAATTATGTTGATGATGTTTCTGAGAGTTGTGGGTATATAATAATCATGCACTTTATCAAATAGTAGATGATCTACAAACTGCCGCACATTTGGAACATCTTCGGAACCGAGATCATCTCCCATGATCAGAACCAAAACGTAACTTATATACTCTGTTTTTGGTATACCAACCCAGAATATTGATATATAATTATATATATATAATATGTATGTATGGGTAAATTATAACGACGTCACTGAAACAACGAAGCCTGTTAGGGAAATCATCCCCAAATTGCCGAACTATTCAGGCTAGTGACATATTATAATATAATTACCCATATATATATATATATATTATATGTGTGTGAATATGATATGTGCATATATACAGTGTAAGTAAGAGTAGGGGAACACTCATGGTAAAAAAAAAAAAAATGTAGTTCATTGTTTTCAATGGTTGCTGCAGATACTGCATACACATATTTATTCCATTTAGATTATAATTACTTTATTTTGTGTTTCGTTTGTAGTGCTTATGTCAATGTAGAGCGCACTCTTTGACTTCATAGCTCGCTGAAAGAAAGAGAACGGCTTATGTAAATGTGGCGTAGAATGCGATACATATCTCTATGTGCAAGTCGGGGCGGAGCATTAATTGGTTCTTTAGGGGACTGACTACTCTTCAAGTTGTTGTTTGGTATAAACTAAGTGGGCACTAAAACAGCATGGAGATTGACCAGCATCAATCATGGTGGCAAAATGCCTTGAAAAAAACACCTGACATCACCTGACTGCATGGTTCGGTCCGGGAATGACTTAGCTCGGAACCATCCGAGCTGATGGCCATGACGGCCATGAGTTGTGGTGAGCTGCGGAGGTGTCGAACTCTACACGCTCTTGGAGATCAACGTGGACCTGGTGGATGGCTTTCCCAGCATGGACCAGGAGACTCCGGAGACGTGACGGTCTTGGGGGAAAATGGTACACCATTCACAAAGGGCCACCAAAGAAGTTTTTCGCAGGTGGGGTTGTGATTTACTTACTGGTGCTAAACGTATAAGGAATTTTCATAATTTTCGGGAATGATCCATAATAACTATATTAACTATTAATAATAATCCCAGCAACCCCCATTCCCATCCATTCCCTACTAAGCACCAGTAAGTTTAAGTTGATAACAACGAATTCCGTGTGATACCTCATTTCACCCACCTCTTGTGTATGGTCACTTGGCCTATGTGTGGGAATATCCAGTGGGGCCATGCTCAGAGCATGTTACGGAAAATTGTTCTGAGAAGAAAACCACTGTTGAATTTGAGAGGACTCTTCAATGCTTTCTCAGTTTCTTTCAAACATTCGGGTGATTAGTTCAGAAATTTAGTTATTGAATTACCAACATAGGGATACATAGGGTATTATTGTTAGAATATTTCACAACCTCGTGGAGAATGGTGGACATTCTGCCACTTGTCAATGCCCCAATGCCGTGCGTTCCAAAAATCTCCCCGCATTTGATGATGTTGTTTTCTTCATTTGCAGCATGTTGTTGCATGTTGAACATGTTTATGAATGGGACCAGGAAACTCATAATATTTGAATCCGGCAGGAACATTTTACTTACTAGGTTTGGAAGAGGGTTTTTCTAAAATTGGACATGGCCGATGAAGAGAGAGGGAGAGAGGCTTGGAGTTGTGGTCGGTGAAGTCATGACCTGTGCCGCTGCCAGGTGAAGGATGCTTATAGGAAACTGGTTCTCATTCACCATCCAGACAAGAAGGCAGCTCTTCTTGGTGCCCGTGCGGTTGCACAACGGAGATCAAAAAAAAAACTGCCAGTGTGGGCCAGAACCTCATAGTTTCTTATAGTTTCTCATAGTGTCTCATAGTTTCATAGTTTCTTCACTTATTCACCCCCCCAAAAAAAAGTACGATGGAAACAAGTCAGAACGGGCATGCGGTTGCCCTTCGGTGAGAGCAGGGGCACCAGGGGCACTTTCCATGCCAGGAAAGTAAAAGCCTCGCCTTTCAACTCATCCAAGAGGCATATGAATACCTCTCAGACCCTGAGCTCCTCGGTAGAGAATGATGGCACGTTCAGATTTTGGCTGTCCTGTCATGACCTCCCCCCATTTATGACTCTTCAGAGAGGGATGCTTGCTATGAAAATACTATTAGGTTTACCACTGTTTGTCCAATTAGTTAATAAATGGATCAACTTCTGACCTTAAGAAGGTCTCTTCTGGGGT